GTATATGAAAATTTGAGCCTTCAGGTTTGTTTCTATCCTCTGTTTAACTTCAGAGGAAATCTGGAGGATCTTCTCTTGGGCTCCAACTGAGGTGAGTGAACATTCAGCTGCTTGAAAATATATCCTAAAAATATCAAATGCCTTGTTTGTAGGGTTGGCTACAGTAGTTCTGAATGTATAGTTTCTTTATAAGGTATTGCTCTTGTTCCAGAAACCTGCATTAGTAGTTGCAGATGCAAGTGACCTACTGCTACAGCAAATGTCAGGAATTCTCTCAGCTCTGCAGAAAGAAAAGGTTTTTGTGCTTTAACCTCAAGGTGAGGAACAGCAAAATTATGACAGCAACCTTAGATCAAATATCTCACAGGCCAGTGTCCCTGGTGGTTTACCATAAACATGCATTTATTTAACACTGGGCTGCATGTGGTCTTGAAGCATTTGTAGGACAATGGTTGTGTGTCTCACCCTTCTTCCAGAGTTGTCTGAAGATCCCAAGGCTCACTACCAAGGTTAAACTGTATCAAAGGAAGATGTTTTTCCAGGGTCAGGGTTAAAGGACAGAGCTCTGGCTCATCAGCACACTGTAAGTGTGGTTGTGATGGTCCTTTAAGATGGGCTTTGGGACAGAGGGTGCACATTTATTTATAAAGTTTCTGTTCTCCTGAAATGCTCAGTGCCAAGAGAATGAATGAAAAACAATTCCCGGCCACATTACATCTGCTTCAGCTTCTGCAAAAGCACAGATGATGGGGTATGGTCATCTTGAGAATGGCATCAAGCTAAGCATTTCACTGGCTTTATGTTCTTCCCACAACCCCTGCTTTGTCCTGGTCTCATGCTAGTATGGTCCCTCCCCTGTCAAAACCAGGTAGAGCTTGCACTTGGCTTCTGAGCCTGGTATCCACAGTGGCAGCTCTCCAGTGTGAATTCTGGTGGCTGGACACAGATGACCATCAGGCCCCTGTCCATTGCACCCAGCACAGTGCATGGAGGGCACCATGGGGCCGGAGAGGGCAGATCCTGCTCTTTGGAAAAAAACAGGTATGCAAGCACCAGAGAGGAACCACTGCAAAGTGCAGGGACCATGGCACAGGGACTGCAGTGAAGGGACTCTTCCCATCAAGTGCTCTGTCCTGCACGCTCAGCCATAGCAGGTAAGCACAGACCTGGGGCTCTCCCCTGCCAAGGCAGAAGATGTCTTGCTCACCAGGGTCATAACTCCTGCAAAGCCCTTTTGCCATGGCCACTGACCCCATGGAGCAGAGCATGGCAGGTGAGGAGGTACCCCCCTGGCCTGTTTCCCTGCTCGGACACTTCTGTGTCCCCTGTGGATAGACCCAGGCCTGCCCTCACTGTCCCCATGCAGACCCTGCACAGCACAAGCAGTATGCTGACCTCTCCCTGCACAAGGCTGAGTGCAGCCTGTGCTTTGGGACCTGCTGACTCATGTATCTGACTCACTCCAAGGCTGAATTTCCATTGCCACAAGTTAGTCTGTTCTGCCAACTCAAAAGACCCCCACCCATGGGGATCCTCTCCCTGGGGCAAGGACACTCAGCCCTGCACAGGTCAGCAGCGGCAGCACCACGGATCACAAAAGTGTCTGACAAATTACAAATGGGCTCATGGTTTGGCTGCTGTGTCCTCTGCACGCAGATATAGCCTCTACTGGCTACCTGCTCCCTGGGCAGGGCAGGGGAGCTCAAGACCCCCACTTCAGCTTCCAGTGATAGCTTCCAGGAGAAAGCTGCCTGGGACAGGTGCTGTCTGACTGTTCCCACTTGCAGCTGCACAGCCTCAGCCCAGGACTCCAGTCTGAGGTGTGCCCTGCTCCAGGCTGGCCACACACATCACCAGTGGAGCCCCTGGTTTGTGCTGCCTGGTGCTGCAGACTGGTCTTTCTGCTCTCCCCTCTGGAATGGGGCATGTGGGGACACAGAGCAATTTGCCTTCCTCCTCAGGAAAGGATGCAGAGCCTTGCCCGGGTGGCAAAAGGGGCAGAGCTCAGGAAGAAAGGAGTGACCAGTATATGTATGTGCCAGCCCAGAACTTGCTCTGGCTGCCTAGTAAGTGTGGTTCATCTTCCCTTAGGATTTCCAGTGCACCTGTGCATCTCACCAGAGATCTCTCACCATCTAAGAGATGCACAGTTATCCAGGAAGGTGTCCTTCCAACAGGTCCCTGTGCTTGTTGTGAGAAACAGTTCTTCCCTTGGGACTAAAGAAAAGGATCCACTACAAGTCAAGAGAGTGCATGATTGGCCCTTCATTTGTCCCTTCTGGTCTCAGGAATGGGGCCTCTGTCTGTGTTCCCAGCATTTGTTGGAGCAGCAAACCCACTGTGCTGAGGAGAGAGGACAGGCTGGCTCATACCAAGCTGATTTGAGTTCAGCAGTGGGATCTCTGGGATGCTTATAGTTACCTGAGCTCCCTGTGCTGTCCTGGCATCTGCCAGCCCTGACACTGCCTGACACTTTACTACTCAAAATCCTCATCAGACTGCAGTAACATTGAGAAGCTTGGCACTGCTCCTGGGGCCTGGCTAGGCTGGAGGCTTTCCTGGGGGGATGATCAAATGCTCACCATCCATCTGGTCTGCTGTCCCTATGCCTGTCCACTCCTATAGGTCAGTCTCAGGAAGAAATATTCTCAGCTGCTAGGTCAGGTCAAACAGCAAAACATCTCTGAACATCTGTAGACAGTATGACCTCTGGTTCACAGCACCCTCCCAAGCTGCCCAGATAAATGAGCACAGGTTTGGTTTCTTCTGCTGACCCATTATGGTTATCTCTCTGATCTGTACTGTGCCCCCAGACACGGCAGTCTTACCCACATATTTAAGCAACTGTTGCTAGAGAGATGTCCACCAATGCTTGCTGAGGGATTACATTAATTTGAAATTTTGAAATTGAGTTGAATTTGAAACCATTTTACCATGACTGAACCACTTTCTCTTTCTGGAGGTTCCCATCCCAGGAGATCAGGCTAAATCTAGGTCTCTTCTTTTCACCTAGTGACCTGTCACATCCAAGAGCAGTGTTCCAGGCAACCAAAACATTTGCCATTCTTCATCCTGGAGTAAAAGACCTGCAGAGGTTGACCCACAGGCTCAATAAGAAATGCTTAATCCACATAACCCACCTGGAGCCTCGCAAGCTTGCTGGAAACCTTTCACCGCCCCATTTCTGAGTCTCCCCTCCATTTTTCCAGGTGGTGCAGGTGCCTGTGAGGTACAATGGAATTTTTCCCAGAGGGTGACTGTTGCTGGGTCTTGCATATTAGAAGACAACACAGCATATAGCCAGCACATTGTTAGCGCTGCCCTGGGCCAGCTGTGCAGGAGTGGGTGGTCATGCACAACCTGTCCCCAGTGTGTGGGGACAGAGCTAAAACAGCCAAAGGCCTATAACACTTCCCTTGCAAAGAGCTCTGTGACAGACAGAACTTTTCCATGTCTGCCCTGCTGGGAGAGATCCCAAAATAAATAACTCCAAGGCCTGAAGGCCCGAGGGAGACAAGCAGGAGTAGGGAGTGGGCTCAGGCCAGAGCACTCAGACCCACACACAGGGCAGCCATACAAATCTGTGCTGTTGACAGAGCCAAGAATAATTCCAGCACCTCTATTTAATGCTATTTAGAAAAACCTCCTGATCCAAAATGGTGAACTTCCCCAAAGACAGGATCAATATTTATAAATGTGGTGACTTCCATGCCCTGGTGATTTATCTCGCACCCAGGTTGGGCAGGGTTGCTGAAGCCCCGACCTGTGGTCACGGACAGTGTCCATCATTTTGGCTGTTCCCAGGGGAGGACGATGCACTGGAGCAGCCTGAGGAGGAGGTCTGGACTGTTCAGGGAGGCTGCTGGGCAGCAGCAGCTCACAGAGATCCTGAATTTCCCACATGAAAACATAATGAACTTTGGAAGGAATTCAATGCCAACCCAGTCAGGATAAAGTTGCCCTGTGAGGCTGGCTGGTTTCCCACATCAGAAAGAGCTGGGGGCTCCTCTGCGATAGTAGAAGGAGTGGGTGGTTACCATGGACACAGGAGACTGACTTCATCCTCCCACGTCCAGGTTTTAGGTCAGCTTTCCCCTTACCAGGAGCATGTTTTCTTGGGGGACAAAGATGATTTTACTAATTTCTCTCCTCTCTCTCATGCCTTGCCATCCCTGGCACTGTTCCCATCCAGCTGACTGTGACTGCTGTAGAAAGCAGAGAGGGGTTATATTTACCCCTTCCCTGCCCTTAAGTCATCTCTAGGACTCGATCTTTAGCCCACACAAAGGAGTCAGCAGGCGGCAGGGACAGCACTGTGGTTGAGGATGGAAAGATGATCATCAGCAACCCCATAAACTGATTTTTAAATAAAGCTTCCTCTGCAACACCACTTCACAAAATGGCATTCAGACTGGGATAGGCAAGGGACAATATATGGGGTGCATATTGCATCAGTTCGGCATGGACCTCACTAGATGCCACCCATCGGGACCTCTCCCACTTGGCCTCCATTCATCCTATAACAGGACAGGTCCTGGTCCACAAGAAAGGACCCTTGTGAAGTGTTTGAGGCACTACTCCTCTGTGATGGAGGTCTGGAGGCCTGATGCTCCCCAGGCAGGTGCACAGGGAACAAATTCACCTATGTGGCTGAGTGATGGAGAACATCCCCTTTGACAGGACAAGATGGAATGGCTTTAAGCTGAAGGAGGATAGATTTTGGTTGGATGATAGGAAGCTTGTGAGGGTGGTGAGGCCCTGGCACTGGGTGCCCAGAGAAGCTGTGGCTGTCACATCCCTGGAAGTGTTCAAGGCAAGGCTAGACAGAGCTTGGAGCAATGTGGGGTAGTTCCTGCCCATGGAAGGGGAGTGGAACAGAATGAGCTTTAAGGTCCCTTCCAACCCAAACCATTCTGTGATTCCATGATCAAGCCCTTCTCTGTTCTGCAGCTCAACACTGCTGCCCAGAGAGGAGCTTCTGATCCAAATCATGACATTACCTTGGAACCATCAGGGTGATTCAATCCTCTGTTCCTCCAGCAGAAAAAGCAAACATGGTCACAGGCAAGCTGAGCATGCTCTCCACTCCCAGCCAGCAGCCGGCACTGGTGTGCAACCTCCTCCCTGTGCTGAGGACCAAAAAGGGATTGGCAGTGCTCTGTCCCAGTAGGAACATGGTCCATGCAACAACTAGGTTGGGACGTGCAGAGGGACATGTGCCATGGGGGGTAGTTTGGAGGGAGAGCAACTAAATCAGCAAGGGAATGCATGGCTGGAGCCCTGCCAGCACCTGCCACCTCTGGAAATAGCTCTTACAGAGTCCCAGGGTACAGGCATGAAGTCCCCTTCCCTTGGATTATTACGCAGCACAGGATACATGAAATATGTTGGCAGCAGTCAGTCTAGGGAGAGCTAAGCAAGGGAGAGAGGGAGATTAATAGGAAAACAAATCAGCACCTAGAAACAGAGCAAATGAACAACACATAGGGACCCAGACCACCGGGGATGCTGGATCACAGACAAACCCAGGCACATGCATGGAAGGAAACACAGACTGCGAGAAGAGCTGGCCACCCAGAGCAAAGGCAGGAAAATGAAAACACTTTATTATCTAAATGGGGATACAATTTCTGGAAGAACAGACTCTTCAGCCCAGGAATGGTGTTTGAAGCACTAGAACAGCTGAGAGAGGTGTTGATGGGGGCTGTCACCAGAAAAAATGAGTGTACGGAGATACTGTTTTTTACCTAAAGCCAAGGCATGGGAGAAGAAATAGATACTTGGTTCTGAAGCAGGGAGCTCTGCAGCAGCAAGAGCCTGCAAAAAGAATAAAGCAGTGGAAGAAGTGCATGTGCTCAGTGCCCAGGGCAGTCTGCAACTTGCAGATCTTGGAGCGGGGATCCTGCCAAGCTAGGAGTTTGCTGCTCTCCTAAGAGTGGCGACAGGGAGGAGGGAGGTTGTGCTGACATAGAACAGGAGCTGTTGACTGCAACCTCTGGTGAGGGAGAATGGCCCAGCTCACTGTAGCACAGATGCTGAGCCATCCCTGCTCACCGTGAAGCCCCTTGTGAGGAGTCTTGGAAAGAGGAAAGAGTTCAAGTTGAGTTGGGTATCCCTTTCACCACACACAGATGGATCTTCAGTCTGTTAGCTTGTGATAGTACTGGTGTGGCTGGCAGGAGAGGCCCAAGGGATGTTTCAAAGATCCCAACAAACATTGGTACTGAGGCAGGACAATAATTTATACAGCAATGTTGGTGAGATCACAAAAAAATCAATGCGACAGGTACCAACAGCTGCCAGTAGCAGGTAAGAGGTGAGCTCTGTGCCACATTTAAGGTGGGATTTTGCTTAAAAGAGGCCAGGCATTAATAGGCAGGGGACTAGAGAGCTGACATCATGCACGGATGCCTAAGCATGCTGAGTGGAAGATGAAGGCATGCCTGGAGTGGTGCCAGGGCTGGATATTGATGCTTAGCTGAAGACAAGTGCTATGCCCCATCCTGAAAGGAATCTCTGCAGCCTCCTGAAACTCCAACCTGTCTGTGGAAAGACTGAAAGAAACCTGATCGCATTTAGTAATGGACCACAGATATGTGATAGCTGCAATAGCAGCCAGAGAGCCTGGGAACTAGACTTTCTAGAGGCCACAAAAACCAGAATCTGGTGGAGAAACAGAAGATGGCCTTTAGAAAGCCAGATCTCAACATGTTCTGCTCAAACTGGACCATCACATTCAGCAACAGAGTGAATACAGTTCAGTGTCCTGTGGGAAGATGGACATAAGACTTCTTCCCCCACAGAAAGGAGCAGGAATGGCAAATGCCATGGAGATGGTCTCTCCTGGGAAGCACTGCAAGAAAAAGTAATCAAGTCAAGTAATCAAGGTAGTTGATGGACTAGGAACTACAAGAAGGCATTACAAAGTCAGTCTGGCTGCCAACAGCCTATCTCTTCAGGGAAACTTCACTTTGGCTGGAGAAACACAGAAGAGAAATATTTCAAACACATTTACAGTCTCTGCTTCTTAATGGGAGCAGGGACTTCCCTTCTCCAAGACACCATCCAACTCAGTTTTGAGGGCAATTCAGATAGAATAACAGGGCAGCTTACAGTCTCTGAGTGCAAGCCTGGAATGTGCTGGCAAAGGCAAGGGGATGATGCAAAGGAGGGCAGAAACTCCTCTGCCATGAACCAGCTGCTCCAGTGGCAGGAAGGAGGAGGACTGGGGTGGAAGGAAATCTGGTCTGGTACATGAAGAGTGTGCTTTGCTTGGTAACTCCCAGTGTGTCCTGTGGGACAACTCAAAGGGGTCGTGCATGGTGTTCCGCTCCATTAGCAATTCCTTTATGCCAGCACATGTAAATAATTATTCTGGCACAGGCTCCCAGCAGAGAGCTGTATGCAACCCTTCAGAGCCAGTGCAGCGCTGACCCCCAGCACAGCCTGTGCTGCTGCCTTTCATGGAGAGCAACACCAGGAGCGAGGAGATTTGTGTTCACACATAGACAGGCTGCACGTCCTCACATGAACAGTGCTTTTGAAAATCAAACCATCTGTGCAGGTGAAGCATGATTCTATGTGATCAAACTCTCTGCTCCCCCTCAAGAACTCATTGTGCAGCCCAGCCTTTTCCCTGAGATCTGACCCTCATGAGAGAAACCTTGGGGTTAAAAAGATGGGAGAAATATTTACAGAAAAAAAATGAAGATAAAAGAAGTCCACATGACTTGATATTTTCTGTGAAAGGTTTTGCCCAAGACTGAGCATTCAGGCCAAAGCTACAAACCCCTGAGAACAGAAGCCACAAAACTGATATGCCTCTGCATGGTACAACACAAAACAAATCTTTCACCTCAGGAATCTGCCTCTTTCCAAACTCCAACAGTGCCCTCAAGTGCTCAAAGGAGAAGCCGCAAGCCAGGGATGGAGCTTGCTACCACCCAGGCTGCGAGGCAGAGGAGACTTATGAACATGGAGGGGAGAGATGTGATTGCATGACCGTAAGTGTGGCTCACTCATGTCCCTGCCTGAGCTACGGTGAAATGTCTGTGTCTTTTCCTACTTCTTTTCCTCGAATGGGTAGATCTGTGCCGATAGCCCATCTGTCACCAAGAGATGCTCCAAGAGCATCAGAAACAGATTTAATGTCTGTGCTGCCTGGAAAAGATGCACACGTGACAAGCTTGTGCATAGTTTGGATTTGGCCACTGGAGTGATCCTACCCAGCCAGACCTCCTGGATCCATTCCTTCAGAAGACATGACCTCTGGAGAGGAGAGGACTGCATCTCAGTGTCCCAGCTCCAGAGGGGAGGTTGGGTTTCACCCCATCTGACTCCCTGCCGTGAGCTTTCCAAGCTGTGTGGAGGCTGTTTTGGCAGAGCTATGCAGGGCTGTTCTCACTTCTTCAGTGAACTGGGTGTCTCAGCAAGAGGGGCTCTTTCAAGGGACAGGAGATAAAGCCTGTTTGGATCTGTGGGACTTCTGCCTGCTGAATGTGAGAATGGTAGCTGGAGACATGGTACATGGTCACCTGCACTCCTTTGTGGGACACACATGTGATTCCTGGCAGGATGTTGAACTCAAAACCAGCTCACCTTGCTCAGGTCTTTTTCCCTGTGGGTTCCTTGGAGAGTCACCTGGTAGAGCTTTATCCTGCAGTCCTACACTTTGCGGAAAGAAAGCACTCAATAGTACAGCTCCACTCACCAGGACTTGCTGTACAAGAATTAACATGTTTTCAAGGGACAACTGAATGTTACTGTGCTGGGAATTGACAAAGCTACTCTGGAAACCTCTTCATGGACACAAATCCCATTGAGTCAAGCAGCAGAGGGCATAGAAACAGGATGATGGGGACAGGAACTTCTGAGTCTGTTTTTGTCCCTGTAGACAGACTGTCATGGTGCCTCTGACCACCTTACCCCAGCCTTTGGAGAAAAGTCTGTGTGGCTTCTGTGAAGGCATGTGTGTTCTCTTCCATTGCTACTCATCACGCCACTGTCCTGTCACCTTCACACACCACCAGCCATCCCCTCCAAGGTAGAAGACCACAGCTTCTCTTCCAGCAGGCTGCTGTCATCCCATTAGGCCCCTGTAATCACAGACACCACCCAACAAACACCAATTTCAGTTCCAGAGCTGGTTTCAGCAAAGAGCCACCCCTTTTTGACTTTTTGCTGCATTGCCTTGATCTGAGCAGGAACACTCATCTTCTTCTTATCTCTAATTCGGGCAACAAGCTGTTCCCACAGGTGCCTGCTCCAGGTGCTAGTAGGAAGTAGTATCACAACGCCAGATAGGCAGGCTCACAAACCTGTAGCAAAAACCTTACCCATTTCAGTGCCAGAGCTGCAAGTTGCTTGCATAAGGAACAATTTCCAAGGTATCAGAGACATCAGGACTCTTCTCTGCCATCAAGGATGGCCTTGCAGGAAAAGTTTTGCTTCTGCAGAGAAAGCACCTATTGCAACACACAGCTCCTGCTCTACTGTGGCTCAGTTTGCCTCAGACAGTATGAGATGGCCCCGCAGCAAGTGTAGATCTGACAGTGATGGGGATGCTGCTTCTAGTGTAGCAGCCACTGCCCTTCATCAATACTCTTTGGCAAATGCCAGCCTCTCCCCCAGCAGCCTGGAGTAAGTAATTCTCACAGCTGGAGTATCATCTCCAGGTTAGTTGCTGTCAGCAGCCATAGAGCAAGAGCCACTGGTGACTTCTCAAGGTATCACCTTGCTGGTGATATCACTGGTGACTTCAAGGTAACACCTTACTTTGATCACCAGCCTGGGGATAAAAATAACCAGATCTAGGTCCAGATCTCTCACAGGGATCTCTTCAATACATAGAATAGGAGCACTCAGGAGAAAACTCAGGAAGCACCAATTGACAGCTGTAGTAAAGACAACTCAGTGCAGGAGACTGGCAAAGGACCATAATCTGAGCAGGTCCCCATGAACCTCTCTCCACACTTCCACAAGAAAACAGCCTCTCCTGTTTTTGTTGCATTCACCAAAAGTGACCTTGAAACCTGCTGCTGTGATGCCATTTCTATTGTAACTGCAGAATAGCTGCCATGCCACTCTGGCTGACAGGCTCACCAAGAGGCATTTCCCTGGAAGAGTATTGAGGCCCCAGAGCAGAATAGGTCTCATCATGAAATTGTGGGTTTCTAATTAATACCCATTTGTCTGCAAGCTGATCTGCTTGACTACATGCCAGCCTCAGAATTTCATCTTCTTCCCTGAGGACAGGGCTTGGCAGTTGCCAGGACCCACAGACCTAGGCCCTACTACCTGCCTGCTGCTGGTCACCAGGTCACACACAGACCAGGATATCACTCTTCACACTTATCTCGCAATTAGCATTTATTTATGCAAATGAGTCAGTTCATTGGCTCTCCTCTGCAATCTATCAATAGATGGAGCAGACAACACCCTTCCAGGCCTGGGAATGGGAATGGAAACTACCTTGCTACTCCACATACTGCCAGGTGAGATAGCATGGTTTTTTTTTTTTTATTTTTCATATAAATTTCAGCCAAAATCTTTCTGCTTCTCCAATGACACGAATCAGATAAAACTTCCCCAGAGCTCTGTTAGAGCCGAGCACAGAGGGACCAGCAGCTTTCAGGTCTGCAAACATACAGAGAGCAGTGAATGCCTGCTCGACTAGCACGCGAGAGAAGAGTCTCTCTGAGCCGGCCAGGGCATGGTCTCCATACAGCTGTGGCTTAGGGAGGCCACCCGGGACACTCGGTGGCCTTCGCTGCACTGGCTGCTGGTAGCAGGGCCAGTCCCACTCACTGGGGCCATCTGGAAGCTCTCAGAGCTGCTGAAAAAAATGCCGCCGGAGGCCCTTTGTGAGCCACGGGCTGGGTCAGGTTACCGACAGAGGGACAGAGAACAGAAACACAGCGAGGTCTCCGGGAGGAGCAAGGAGCTCTCCTGCAACAGCAGAAATACAGATAGGGGTCTCAAGGAGTAACAAGGAGTACCTCTGCCATGGCAGAAATACAGATCAGGGTCTTGGGGAGGAACAAGGAGCACCCCTGCTATGGCAGAAATATAGACTGGGGTCTTGGGAAGGAACAAGGAACACCCCTGCTATGACAGAAATACGGATCAGGGTCTTGTCATCCCTGCCCCAAGAGCAGGATGCCGGCACATGGGCTGTGAGAACAGCCTGATCCTACCCTGCATCCTGTTGCAGACTGTGCACACAGACTGACACACGGCTGACATGCACAAAACATGGGCAAGCATGGTGGCATTCAACATCAGGGGGCTTCTTAGCTATTTGCATATCCTCGGGGCAGCCACACATCCCAGGGTCCCTGCCTGTGACACACACCCTTCAGCACCCCAATTCTAGACCTGCTGACCCAGGTGACCCTGGTGCCTCAGGTGTCCTCCCCAGCACACCATGGTGAGATGCTGCCAGGAAGGCACAGGGAGCTGTGCCTGCAGCATGCAGAGGGAGCCAAAGGCTGGAAACTGGGCAAGCAGGTGATAAAGCAGCAGATCAGGACCAACAGCCAGGCCTGTGTCCACCTTCCCCACGTCCTACAGCCAGCACCCCAGAGTGTGGGCTGGAAGGTCCAGCAGTGCCCAAGCATTCCCTTGGCCCAGGCCAAGGGCAAGTGACCCTGAGGTAGGCATGTCTCCTGCTGCCTCAGCCTCAAAGCCCCTCACTGCTGGCTGCTTGCCCACAGCCTGTGCCCGGCCAACACTACCACCTCCCTCAGGGAACGAGCCCCGGCTCTAACCCAGGAAGGTGATCTTTTATTACAGAATCACATGCCTCAGAGACTGAGTCCAACCTATGACCTAACACCACCTTGTCAACTAGACCATGGCAATAAGCACAGTGTCCAGTGTTTCCTTAAATAGTTCCAGAAACAGTGACTCCACTGCCTCCTTGGGCAGCCCCCTGAGCGGCAGAGTCGTGCGGGCGGGAGGTGGGGGTGTGACAGCAGTCACCATGGCCAGCAGGTTCCTCAAGGCTGCCAGGGGGCGGGGCGCCGGTGTTACCGATTTAAGGAGCTCCCTAAACACAGACACAACGTCTAGTTCAGGAGACATCGTTTAATCTGCACATGGTGTAAGGCGGAGGTTTCCACAAATCAAGTACACCAACGGGTAAAAGGCCGTATCTTTTATGCAGTAACATTCACACGAACCTGCCTATCTAACACATATTCTCCGCCTACCTAATGCATATTTAATTTCGGTGACGTAACCTTGCGCAATGCTCGAAACACAGAGTTATTTTCTTCATTAAGCAGCTTCTGTTGTAGAAGTTATCTGACTACATCCTTTACGTTTACAAAAGGTGAGAAAATTCAGCCAGGGGACATAAAATTCGACTGGAAGACAGCAGGGCGGAGGCGGCGGGAGGCCCTGCCGCGGCCCTAAGATGGCGGCACCGTGAGGGGGGAGCGGGCTGGACAGGGACGGCTGTTGTTGAAGCTTTATTGTTCCCGCTGCCGCCGCCACCCGCCGTGTCCGTCGCGCCTGCCGCGCCGTACCCAGTAAAGGTAAAACCATGGCGGAGCCGGCCGGGCCCGCTCGGCAACGGGCGGTCGGGGCGGCTCGACTCACCCCCGACGCCGCCTGGCTGTCCCGGCTCTAGCCACCCCTCGTTGCCCCTCCTCGGTACGCGCGGAGGGGATGGGACGCTTCGCCTCGTACCGGAGAGCCGGGGGACGGGACGGGTGGGTGCCTCCCCTACCCGCAGAAAGGGACCAGCCCCTATGAAGCCTGTCAGGCGGATGAGGAGGTTGAGGGGGTCCGAAGGGTGCCTCTGTATTCAACCTGGCCGGATGCGGGGACCCCCACACCCCACCCATGTTAAATCGAAGTCAGCCTTATAAGAGCTCCTCTAGTGCCCAAAAAACGCAGTCTTTCTCATTTTAAACACTCCCCATGTCCTGCCATCTTTGCCTTATGGCAGGGGCCTTTCTTTGAAACCTACACATAAAAGAAGTTTCCTCTGAAATGTTGTCTCTACCAGTGAGCCAAAGCCTCTCTGCTGGGTTCCATTACCCTCTAAAGGTGTTACATTACTTGTGCATTAGGGTTGTGCCCCTGCTTGGGCAGGTGTGACCCTCCAGGAAGTTTTTTAAAGGTATGCATGGGAGGGGTTTATCTTGTGCTTTGGTCACAGCAGATTCCTCTCCTTGCTTTGGCCCACTAATCGCATCTGTTCTTTGAGATGATCCATCAAGACTGACGCATCAAGAGACAAATGAACAGATTTTTTTTCACTACATCAAAAAAATGAGGAGTCTCATTTGATTTCCTCTGTGATCTCCAGCTCGATTGAGCTGCTGCAGGGGAGCAGGGAGAAGAGAGCCTCAGGGCTGTCCCTGTCCCCAAATCAGTGGGATATGTTAGAGGTGCTGTGGTGGGTCCTTACCAGGACCCACCTCCTCCCTGCAGAGGGAGAAGCTGCAGTGAGGTGAGGCTTGGGGGCAGTTAGTTTCCTCTACTGTGCTGGTCAGGAAGGCTGACACACCTGATTTATGAGCCAGACATAACATAAGACTGCAGGGTTCTGCAGGGTTCTGGTTGAGATATGCCAGGTGTCTTGTGTTTGAGGGGGAATTTGGGTTTACACTCTGGTTCAAAGACAGGGTGGTGCAGGAACAACCTGTTGGAGTATGGACCAGAACAGAGAGGTCCTTTCCCAGCCTCTGTGCCCTACTTACTCACTCTTATTTCCTCTCTTTCCAGTATATTGTAACTGTCTGGACATACCACTTAAAGAAAGTGCCCAAAGTGTCCCTGTTGTCCCTCAAAAAGCAGCTCAGCAGTTACAAAATTCTTCCAGGAGATGGAGGAGGCATGTTGGCTTTGTGGGGCAAACCCTACTTGGCTTTCACAATGCTGCATCTTCCTCTGCTGTTTTGGAGCAGCTGCACTCGTTTGAAGAGTTGTTGAAAGTCCGTTTTTCTTAGTGGAGTTTTAGGACTCTCTGATAGCCTGATGCAGGAGGTGACAGTGATGCAAATCCAGGTATCTTGATAGACTCAGCTCCCAGTAATTCTGTGTACTTACTAAGAAGTCTGAGGGAATCAGACCCATTTTGGGGTAACCATGCTTGAGAAGTATAATTTTAAAGGCCTTTGCATCAAGGTGCCTTAAGGGTGTGTAGAGCCATGCCTGCCCTTGGCCATGGGAACAAATGGCTCCTGTACTTCTGGTGTTGCAAAATGGGTCACAAAAACTGGTCAAAGTAGTGTAGTGTTTTTCTTAGTAAGTCATTAAGCAATTGCAACACACCATCATCTGTGATGTAAACCTACCTGACAAAAAGCAGTTCAGATGCCCAGCTTTTGTTTTTTGAGGATGTTAAGGGAACCGGCAAAATATAATTAGCACTTCTGGTGTTCTTGGGCATGGTGATCCGTGGCTGAGCAGTGACTGGAGCAAACTGTGGTTGTTTCTTTGGGTTTGTGCTGGTTTTCCACTGCATGATATTGCTTGCTTTTTGGGGCAGCTCTTGGTTTGAAGAAATCTTGCCTTTAAGAGTTGTAGCAGATCTGTTTGTTTTTTGATCTATTGTATTTCTATTCAGAGCATCAGTGCAGACAGCCAGCCAAAATGTGTGGGGTTTGAGTGGTAGATTCTGCTACCTTTAGAGACTGTGGAATGCTGAGTTTAGTCAAAGTGTTGCTTATTTTCCTCTGTTACTAGTCTGTGCTGATGCTCTGAACTGCAACAAAATAGATTGAAAAACAAATTGGTGTATCCTGGTTCCTTGTGCTAGATTTCACATTATCCTCTGGGTGAGCTGCCTTCTCTGTCCCTTTGGAGCACCCCAGAGACAAGTAATGACCCCTCAGCCTCTTTCAGCACTTCAAAGGCTGAATTACTTTCTGGGGAGAGATAAGAAAATGGAATTGCAGTCCTTGATTTTCTGGCTTTTCAATAACCCTCAGTGTAAGATCATCATCTTGGTAACAAGAAAACAGGAAACTGGTAAACAGGCACAGAAAGTATTCAGATTGTGATTTAAGGCTGCCACTGCTCTTAACTCCCCAAAGCTAAAAACAGAACATTGCCCCCTCACTCAGAGGCCACTGTCATGCCCAAGGGACTGCAGGCCTGAGCAACACAAGAGATATATCCTAGCTTTCTGTCCTACTTCATTCACTGATTTCCGTGAGGATTGTGAAATGAGCCTTTGATTGAGTGCAAATGGGCTGGGATGTGGTGAGCTCTTCTCACAGGGTAGGGAGCCTTTCTGGGCTGGCTACCACTCTCTTGCAATGACCGCTTTGAATTTTAGCTCCCCAAGCAGAGAGCTGAGTGTGGGGAACAGGAGGGTTGTGGGAGTGCTCCTGTGAGCCCCTCTGATCAGCTCCAACAGAAGTGGCATTAACTGGGGACAGAAAAGTTGGATTATTCCATTTTGCTTATCTCTTTCTGTCCACTTTTTTCCCCTGCCTTCTTAGTTTTAGGTTTTTAGAGCTTGCTTAGGACTCCCTGTCTTCTAGTTTTGCACTGGGTTTACAGGATGATTTTATACATCTTCATTATCCATGTGAGCACTGCAAGTTCCCTGTCTCTGCATGGCTGCAGCAGAGCAATAGGCTGTGGGTCTGTGCCACATGGATCTAGTATGCTTGGACAGCTTCATCATTTGGCAGGGAGGCAATAGATGTTGGGGTTTTATTTTTTTGTTTAGTTTTTTTTTTTTAAGCTACAAAAAGCCTACTCCATGTGCATCTATAGTGAGAATTTCAGGCATGGAATACATCCTCAAGCTAGCCACTGAGATGGATACAGGAAGAGCTTTTGCTAAGTTACTAATGACAGCAGCTGCGTTGACCACACCTTGTAAAAGTCCTTAATTATATAGTAAGGGATATACAGAATCCTTTTGCTTAAACCTTAGGGGCCTTACAATTCTTTCTGTGCCTTGTGATGGATGTTCCGAAGGTGTGGGTAAAGTGGCAGCAGAAACTGTGAGGGAGGAATGGTCTCATCCTTGCACCTTTGGAGTACCTGTCTCTGTAGAGTCTAATTGCTAAAGTGCTTGGTCCTAAATTTCAATTATCTTTTGATCAACCTGGTGTTGTGCATGGCTTTTGAGTCCGTTGGATCTAGATGCAAGTAATTATATGAATAATGAAGAGAAGTGATTTAATTTGGGCACGATTTTCAGTTCTGTGGATAGAATTGGGTAGCCCCTTTCCTCCTTCATTCTTCCTTCAACTTCCCCCAAGAAAGAAAGGTTGTTGCTATCAAGAGATCTTTTTCCTGTTCTAATGTAGTTTAAAGAAAACAACATGAAAGCCTCAAACTATGGAGGTGTGGGAGGACAGAAATAAATGGAAAAAAGGCATAAAGAGCTGAAACTGGACAGTGGAGGGTGATGTTTTCTGCAGACATGTTCTGCACCTCCTATACTTCTGCGGTTCAGAAGAAAAAGGGTCATCTTTGCTGAAGTGGGTGTCCTGAGAGCAGTTGCAGATGACAACGGTTGCTTAAGGGCGACGGGGGGCATTTATCAACATGTTGTCAAGTAGAGCCTTAGAAATTGTGGGCACTGTTGAAAATTTGCCTTAAATGGATTGATCTCACAGTTTCATTGGAAGTCAGTGGAAGGAAAACTCCTAAGCCACCTTGGTGTTTCCCCTGGAAAGCTGACAGGATGAGGCTTAAGATGTCCCCTCCAAGGATTAATTTTGCAAGGCCTGTTGTGCAGCTTGGTTGGGCAAATGCCCTGTCTCCTTTTTCACTTTCTAACTCCAGTGACTGGTATTTCGTAAGAGGGCAGTTCTTATGTGGCTCAGGTGTCAGACAACCCAGGAACAGTCTGCTTAAGCCATGTTTTACCTTAAGTTTGGAGTCCCCAGTGGAGCTGACTCCCAAGAGGAGTCAGAGAAGCAGCTTTAAGCTGAAGTGACTATTGGCTTTTTCCTACCAGTGGTGTTGGCAGAGGCAGACAATGTAGGCTCTGTCAGCATACATCACTGCTGAAGTATCAGTTACCTGCTGTCAGAGAGAGATTCCCAGTTCTGCCTAGTCCCCCAGCCAAATCTCCCAAAAGTCATCTAGATGATGGCTGGGAGACATAGTCACACAAACTCGGGTGAGAAACAAGACGTAATTTAACTGTGTGGTGGTGGAGGGTACTCCACTTAAAAATCAGTTATCATGACTCGGTTTCTTACTGGAAGAGAGACATTAGCCAAACCCAAGTTACTGAGCCTGGAAGTCTGGCAGGCAGTGATGGATGAGCAGTCAGATTGCTGATGGTGGTCCCTTCTGGCTCTTGGGCCCTCTGAATAGGGTGCAAATGTCTTGGGGCTGGTCTTGGCCAACACCCCTTGTTATAAATGCCTGTTCTCTTTGATGGTACTGGATGGTTTGGATCCCTATAAAAAATTAAAGAAATAAAATGTATTTGAAAAAATATGTCTGTGCTAATTACTCAGGACACATTTTCCAGTGCTCTGAGTTGCTGTAATGAAGAAGGGGACATGCTGGTAGGCTGCTTAGAGTTTCACTGTTTTGAGCTCTCATGACCAAATATGTCTTCTATATTCCTGCCAGGAATAGAGGGAGCAGACGGTGCTGCTGCTTCCTCCAGCTTGCCACAGTGCAAGCAATAAGCTTCATGCAGGAGGCTATTCATGGCAAAGTGAGCAGACGTCTCTTCCAGGACAACGATTTTTCCTGCTTATCAATTTGTAGGAAGAGCTGTAGCTATTATTATTTAACCAGCAGACTCAGTTTCAACTCATCTGAAGGACTTCCAGTTGAAGTCCTCTGGGGAAGGAGTGGGTGGACTAAAACCGTTATTACATGGAGTCTGGCAAAAGAATCGTGTCTGTCTCTTCTCCCACGACCAGCAGCAACTCTGATGATGGCAGCTTGGTTCCTTGTGATTCAAAATGGTGTGGGAGGAGAGCAGAGCCTGCATGTTGGATCGACTGGAAGTACAGGTGGTTGGCCCTGTGCATGGGGGAGGGGGTGGATCTGATATTTGGAAAGATGAGGTGCAGATCAACCAGGCTTTGGTAGTGATGTGCCTGAAGAAGCTCTGGCTCTGTGGGGCAGGAGGGTGGGCTATCAGCCTACTCAGGTTTTTCTGCCTTCCAGAGAAGGACCCACCAATACCATGCTCTTGCTTCAGAAGTACTGAGAAGTACTGAGGAGCGTAACACCTCTGCTTTGAGGTGATGGCAAAACCATCTGTGATCTTCTCCTGGTGCTTGAAAAACAAGTTTCATAGCACTTCATCTTCAAAGCCTGAGGAAGCTCTTGGCTGCACAGGAGAGCTCTCCTGCATTTCTGGTATCTACCAACCTTCTTGTTCAGCCTTCTGTAGCTCTGGGATGAGGAGATGTCACTACTCTCTTCTGTTCTTCTATTCTCTGTCTTCCCACAGCCACCACAGACAGTGCCATGCAGAACGACAGTTGGGGTCCTGCCTGCCTGTGGACAGGAAGTCCTGCTTCCCACAAAAGCTGAGTTCCAGAGAAGTTGATGCCTTCAAGAAGTGAGATGTCATTTCAGCCTGCACCTAGCATCTGCTTATGATGTCATTTGGTACAAACTGGGAGTTGCTCTGATCCTGATTTCATGCGAGGCAGAGCTTTGAAATTGGTGTATGTGCATTGGCTGTTAAAGCTCGTACCCTGGTGATAGGCTGTACTAGTCATGTTATCTCCAAGAGAGCCGGAAGCTGAGTGCGAAGATGTTAAGTGTTGAAGGTCATGTAATTCATGTCCATCCAGGTGCTCTTTCTCTAATGCTCATACTGCTCCATTTTGCCTGACATGCCAGTGTTAGGCATCCTAGTGTGTGGGCAAGGCAGTAATGTCTTTATCTTGTCTATCTTAGATAAAAACTCCAGATGACCCACTGATAAAAATTCTCTTAGCAGATGTCCTATCTGTTCTCCTTCCTGCAGTGGGGTGGGGAGGCATGGAGGTTAAAGGGGAGCTCTGGTAGATGGGATTAGAATTATGGACTTCTCCCAAAAATTACATTTTAGGGGAAAAGACTCTTAAATCGATGAGCTGAGACCATGGTGTGCTGAGAAGGGGGTGCTGAAGGCCCTGGGCTGCAAGCAGAGCCCTGTCTCTAATGTTCACATGGCCCTGCTCATCTTACCAGTGATTTGGGGGAGAAAATGAACTGGTCCCAAATCACTTAGTGCTTTGCAGGTTCAAACTAACACCTCAGATTCTCCTTTGTATTTGGTAGATGGTCTGAACAGGTCTTCATGCCCTGCTTCCTGTTGCGGCAGGCGTCTGACTCTCTCTGACCTGGCTAGCGGCGGAGCAGCTGGAGACGGGCTGCAATAAGCAGTGGAGAATGCAGGCACCCAGCGTGGGGCACAGAAGAGCGTCAACCTCCCAGCAAACATGGGGTATTGAGGATGGTGCAGAGAGACTACCAATGTGAGGCCCTAGAGCACCGTGGGCTTTGGTACTCGGGAGCGAGGTTTCACGGGGACCAGCAGAGAAGAGAGGGGATGTAAGCTTTCAATTTCAAGTCTTGCTTTCATTTAAAAGCTGCCAAAGAAGACCCTAAAACCATTACATCAACACTTTAAGATCAAAATAATCAACCCCCACTCCCCTCTAGAATTTTTCTTAAATTTAATTAATTTATTTTGTGATGCAATTTTTGTGTTGTTGTTTTGTTACATTGTCAGGATGCTAAGATCTTATTTTTCGTTTCAATAGGGTAACAATCATATAAATTTTAGTTTTGATTGTACAATATTTAACAGACTTCTTTTCCCAGCTTTTGCATTCTGCCCCGCCACGTCCCTGAAGCTACTGACCCTGAGAACAGAATGGGAGATGGAAGGACTGGCCACACAGCCACACCCCAGACAACCAACATCAGGCCTCAAGAAAGAAGAAGCCACAACTGATGGCATCCAGGCAGCTTATGGTGAGGAGCAAAGGACTTGCAAAGGACTCTGGGACCAATTGGGAGTAGCCATCCAGATCAACAGCCCATGATTGGCTAGAAGGCTTCTGGAACATTCTGAGAGACTGCATTCTATGAGAGACTATATATATGCATGTCGGCCCCACTTCAGGGTCTTCTGAAGCAGCCTCTTTATGTTTTGTTTTGCACCCTTGTTTGCACCCTTTTATTTATTTAATAAATATCTTCAGTTTTGGCACTTCAGCTGTACCTGTCCCTTCCTTGTTGCTGTGCCACTCGACCACAGCATCGTCAAGCTCCTGAGAACAGAAGGTTTCCCCATGCGCCCTGTAGATCCCTCGGGGTGTTGTTGCTGATCCATCTCCGGCTGCTCCACTGCCACCTGGGTCAGAGAGCACCGGCAGTCAGACACATGCTGCAACAGCTTCCCCACCTGCCCTTTCAGAAACCAGCTCCTGAATCAGCTCCAGCCCCTGGCTGCAAGCACAGCCTGGCACTGCAGTGCCTGATCTGATGGGCACTCACATCTCTGTGAGATGTATGGCACACCAGGGAGGCTCTACTCCCTTTTTATAGCCCCTCTGACTCAGTACTCAGTCTATATCTGCTCATTTAGGTTTGAACACTATCTAGACTACTCAGGTGTCAGATTAAGTTGCTGAATTTGAGGAGTGTGAGTTCAGAATGAGGATCTTGCTATAACCAAAGAATTGAAGCATAGTAAACTACTAAAATTTGCAAACTGAAAAGTAATTTTCTTACTCTTTCTGTCTTGTAGATAGAAATGTTGCCAGGATCCATTTACTTTTCATTATTTGGGCTTTGTAAAAGCAGTGTGGAGACCAAGGCAAGATGAGGCCAGTAGGAGCTTCCAGTTATGGCTGGCAGTTGCTGCCCCAGTTGTACACTCTCTTCAAGGAGCAGCACTTCTGTGTCTGCACCATCTTCATTGGGAATGTGCATTTTAGAGCACACAAGGTGGTTTTGGCTCCTGCCAGCCTGCTGTTTAAGTCCATGTTGGACAGCACAGACACCATCTCCCATTGATGCTTCTGTGGTAACACCTGAGGAGTTTCCACTCTTACTTGAGATTATGTACAGTGGCAAACTCCCACTAAGAAAACACAATTTCACCAAAGTTACCTCTGTGACAGATAGTCTGCAGATATTTGATGTGGCTGTTAGTTGTAAGAACCTCCTCAGGGATCTCATAAGTTGTTCTGCCCAGGACCAGGTAGTAAAAGGAGTCTCCAGCCAGGAAGCAGATTCATCTGGAAACCAAGCTAAAGCTAATTACCTGCCCCAGTCTGGAAGACCTGATGAAGGCAAAATATCATCCTCAGTCAGAGAGTTTCTCCTTTACTCTGTAGAAGCAGAAATGGAAGCAGGTGTTTCTCCTCCTGGCCAGGAACTTACTGTGTATCTCACCTGGGTTCATCAGGACACAATGTCAAGTGGCTCCAGGTCCCTCCAAGAGGATTCAGGCTCTGGCCCTGACCAGCCTGCCCATGCTGAGTGGAGTGGCTGTGTGGAAGAGGAGCTTGCTGAGCTGCCAGAGGGGAAAGGGCGATCAAGGGATTTAGGTGAGATGTCATGGGTCTGGACACAGCATTGCCTCTTATTTGCAACACGTTGGCCCACATTTGCCTGTTTTGGGGTATTTTTACTCTCTGTTTAATCTTTTTAGTTTGCCCTGGGTTGGGAGCAACAGCAATGTAACCACTGTTGTGCAGAGATTTTCTTCCTTTGGCTTTTGTAGTTGCTTCATGCTAATTGCTTTGCCAGAGCTGTAGTGAGCAAAACTTTTATTGTCCAGGCATGTGATTGCCATGCAGTGGGATCTGTGTTATTGCAGGACATAGGGCTGATTAGACAATCTGTCTAACAGCAAGTGAACAGAGTTGCTTGCTAATGCTACCTTATCCTTTAAATTCCTGTTCAGCATGGGAGGAAAACAGAGGCTGTACTGGGTTTAAAATAAATGTTCCATTTATAACTGGTGTTAAATAAACTGTTGGTTTTCCCTCCAGGCTGTGTGATGTCTTCAGAAGGGATTTATAAGTCACAGTTTTCCTTTTATAGCCAATGGGCTGGTTACAAACTGATGCCTTTCAATCACATCATGCTTTCTGCAAATCCATTCAATTAGCAAATAATGAATCTTGTTTCTCTCGTACAGCAGCAGAGAGCAAAAGCTATTAAATAGATTTCTTTGTTTGAAATGAAAATGTTTTCTGAGGCTCTTTCTGATGCCCAGGCTGTGCTGAAAAGACTCAAAGAGTGCAGAGAAATTGATGCCTCTCAAAAGGTGGTAGGTGTGTTTACTTCCATAAATCATGCAAGTTTTTTCTTCACCCTGCTAAGGGCTGTAATATTTTGTGCCTTGTTTAGGAAATTGTTTCATGGGAAACTGGTGCCTGGTTGTTTGAAGGGCATCATGTGCTCACCTGAGCAACACCCTAGAGAGAAGCATCTGTAAGTGCAAGTTGCTCAGGCATGCAGGTAAAGAAGTATGTCCTGCCTTGAAGGCATCCTTGTGTTGTAGAAGAGCTCCAGCACAGATTTCTCTCCTCCTGTTTTTGGCATTTTCTTCAGGAATTGTATCGACTTGTAAATGGCTGACATATGAGATCCCAAAATAGATTTCCTGAGCCCTCGGCACTGTCTTGCTGTGAAGCATCTGCTGCTCTCTGTACAGCAGAGCTGCTGGGGGAGGAGTGGGACAGGGCTTGACAGGGGGAACTGGGTGCTGCCCCATGGTGCTTCTCCTGCCAATGTGCTGCTTTAAGAGCAGTCGGAGTTGGTAAACGATGCTCAGTTCCTGTTGCAGGGGGTAACTGAGTGTGCTGCTGGGCATATGCTGAAGGGTACTCTGGCCTCTGAGCTGTGGTAGCCAGATGCCACCCATTGCTCCAGCTCAAGGGCAACACAGAAGCAGAATGTGATGTCTGTACTGGTGTGACAGTGGAGCAGGAGGACAGAGAGCTTGTGAATGATTGTGGTGGGCACTCGTGCTGGCTGCACACTGCTGTGCAGTGGCAGGGTCTGCAGAAGAGCTGTAGCCAGTGTAGAGCAAGGATGGGACTGTGCTGGCTGTTCTCTGCCCAGCCATTTCTGGTAGAGCATTTTTCATACCAAGCTGCATGAACTGTCCTGCATGCCTTTCTGAAGGGGAAAAAGTATTACTATTTCACTCCTGGCTCTTCCGTGGCTCCCTGGTTATTCAACCTCTGGAGCAGTGCTGTTCCTTAGGCTGGGGGCTGCCATGCTCTCTAGGTTCTCATGTAGTTGCTGGCTGGAAGCTGTCTGGATTCAAGTCCCTCCAGTAGCAGTGTGATCACAGGACATGGTATGTTTTTACCATTGTGACATTCTTCTTATAAAAGCCCAAGACCACATCTTTATTAGAAAAAACCCCAAACTTGTGACAGCAGGGAGAAGAATTCCCTTGAGTTGGGGAGTGCAGGATTGTTTTCTGCTAAGCCCTTAAATGTTCACGAAGGGAAGCTCGTGTTCCCTTAGCAGCTGGTTCTCCTCATGTTGTGGAATATAACGTATTGGGGGCTTTAGAAGAGAGATGTGGTTCTATATTTGCAGTAGCAAGCACAAGCCCAGCTGGGCAGACAAACACCTCTGAGTGCCCTGCTCAGAGGATTGGATTTTTCTATGTTTGTTTTTCACCATGATCAGGTAAGTGTGTCAGGTTTAGACTTTTACCTGTTATTACAAAACACTTTTACGAATGGAGCCGAGCTGGGGTGGGTGCTGTGCAGTGTGACTGGTGCTGCCAGAAGGGATTTGGCAGCTCCATGCTCCCATGCTAGCAGGCCCTGTCCCTGTTCCTGCCTCTCCTTACTGCTGGTGGCAGGGCAGAGCTGAGCTGGCGGAGTGCCCAGGCAGGAGAGCTGCAGCTTCTGCACTGCACAACAGCCCTGTTTGCTATTGCTGTGCCGTCGCTGCCGTTTGGTGTTCCTACACCACTTCAGACCCATTCCTGGCCTTTTGTGCTCCCAAATGAGCTGTTACAGGAGGAGGCAAGGGAGAGGTTGTGGAGCTCAGAGCCGGTTTGGGTGTCTGACTGCACAGTGGTAGCTGGACAATTTTTCTGCGGCTAAAAATAAGTGCTGAATAAATGAGAAATGGATTATCTTTGAGGCTTCTTGAAAAATCACTTTTCAACTGTGACAAGCATGAAAAGTGTCAGCCCCAGGGCAGTGGGAGAACAGGCTGCAGCCTGTTATAAGCAAGGGCTCAGCCAGATCTGTCCTTCTCTGAGCTCCCCTCTGGGACCAGCAGGACCTGTGGACCTTAGCACTGAGTCTGTTTCCGGCACACAGAGCAGCTTTTCCCCACCAGAGCCTGGTGTTTCCTTTGGGGGGAAACACAGCAGTGTATTTTTAAAGTCATGCTTGAAGTGCAAGTTCAGCTCCAAAGAACTGAACTGGGATGTGTAACTCAGGTTGAGGTTGTGCCAGTGGTAGATGTCAATGGATTTTTTTTTCCTCTCTTTTTTTCCCCCCTCCCTTTCTTTGTATTCTTTTCCTAGTCATTTGTTTGAAGTCTCGAGTGCCTTGGGGCAAGTAAAAGTGTGTCTGGATGCCTGTGAGACTGTTTCTGTGTAGAAAGCGTTCTTGCTGGGTGTGCTTGCCCTGCTGCGGGGAGATCTCCCATTTCTCGGGATTATTTTCTTGGGAGCCTTTTGGAAGCAGCTGATCTCTCTAGGAAAGCACCGGTTATTTCGGGTAGTAAAGCCTGGGCAGCATACAAGCTTAGGGGAGTTTTGTCAGCCTGCCTATTAGCACCAAGGCTGTCCTGGTTCCTGTGGTTTTAGTGGAATTTGGCCTTGGATGCCTCTCTATTTATTTTCCTTTGCTGGTCAACTCATCCCTGCATGGTATCTTATTCTGTGCAGCACTCTGGTCTGCTCCCCTCTATTGTTTCTGCCTATTTCCTCCTACCTCCACTGGAGACTCATTTGGTTGTGGGGGTTTTCCCCAACAAAGTTTGTGGTGCGGGGCTGGCTTTTGTGAGAACTATTGCTTCTCTCTGAGTTTGATATTCTGTTCTGCTCCCCAGACTGAAAAATGCAGATGAATTGCTTTTCAGTTTAGGGAGATGTGACTTTTGGGGTTGTTTCTGTTTTATAGTTTCTCTGTATATTTCACATAAACTATTCCTATCTAATTTGGTTTTGGCTTGGATGAAATCTGCTTGGAAACAAGAACAAGACTGAAATTGCAGTAATTTAGGGAAGCATAGAAGAGCTTTGCCAATGTCAAGTCTTATCTTCCTGTGCTCTCTTAGAGAAACTCAATTCAAATTATTGCACAGCTCATTTGTTCCCTCTACTACCAGGTTCAGATGAAGAGGGAGAGCGTTGATTCTCCCATGTAGAATAAATGTCACTGTGTTTGTGGATCATTTCCATTGCCTGTGGGCCTGTCCAGTCATTGTCGCCCTTCATTTGCAGCTGCAGGGATTTCTGGATGAGGCAGAAGAAAGAAGTTTCCTGTTATCTTCTGCATCCTGATTAGAAGAGAGAGCTTGTGAGGATTTGGTGGTTTTTTTCATGGTGGCAGTGCTAGAGAACTTTTTTTTTCCTCTGTTCTGGTGTATTTTTGTAGAAGTTTGGGCTGAGCTTTTGTTCTTGTTGTGTGGATCAAGCAGGGGTTCAGTGTTTTCCACAGATTCTTCCTGGGGTCTCCCTGCATGTACAAATGCAGGCTTGAAAAAAAAAAATCCCTTTAGGTTTCTGAAGGAAAAACATGAACATAGTTTTTCTCTGATTATTGCATGCACAATACAATAGTTGATTGATAGTTGACTGACTTAATGGTGGGGTCACAGCCAGGGGGCTTCTCTGAGGGTGAAGTGGAGCCAGTCCTGGGGTTGTCCATGCTACTGACCCTGTGAGCAGCAGCAGCCTATGGAACAGTGCTTCTCAGCTTCCAAAGGTTGGATAACCATGCAGCCACAGAAGAGCCAGCAGTGAAACAGGCCCTAACCAAACAGGTTTCCAATTGCTTTTTTATATTTTCATCACCTTCTGTACATCAAAACCTGAAGCAGTGTGCATTTACAGAGGACTGATGATCATGGCTGTGGAAGTTTCCCCACAATGCACGACCTCCTGCAGTGTACCTGAGCATCCCTCAGGTCTGAAGGGAGTCAGCTTTTTCTGCCACCCTGAGCAGGTGCTTCCCAATCTGTCTCTTGCAAATCCCTACCCACCACCCTCTGGATGATTGCATTCACCCTAAAGCTGATGCTTGAAGGAGATCACTCAGAAATAGTCAATAAAGTGGCTTTTTGCTGGATGTGCTCTCATGGTGGGAGCAGGAGCATGGATGAGGCATGAAAAGCCATAACCGTGCACATCCACCTGCAGAGAAGAGTTAATGGCCAGCTGGGCTAATGACTGTGCTGCGTGCCCTCCCTCTCTCCTCACATCCCTCTTTAGTCTCAGTTATGGGCCACTGCACATTGCTGTGGGAGGGGGGTGTACATTATTTGCGCTTGCGGTTGAGGTCTCTGGAAAAACATGGAAGATGTGGAGATGCTATGGAGACAGGAGACCTATCTCCTGGATCCTTAACCTGCAGAGGTTCCTGTTAAGAGCTTGCCATGGGGCTGCTGTGGACATGGGCATGTTTGAAATGAACTGGGAAGGCTGTTCCATGTGTGTGATGTGTTCCATGGTGCTGAGGTGGGAGTGTTTTGGCCACCAGAACTGATATCCTCAATGGGGACCAAACCTCTGGAGTGCCATGGAATCTGTTTGGTGGCAGAGCTCTGACCATGCTTAAGTCAAGTCTTGGTAATGCAGTTTCCCAGTGCAAGAAAGCAGTCTCTTCCTCCCATGTGGAAGCTGGTTGTATGCTAATTTGTGCCAAATTGGCCATGAAGAGTTTTGCAGTGTCCCAGGCAGTGAAAGCCTGGTGGATCAGGCTGTAATGTGGGGGCACATTATGGCTAAATGGAAGCTGGGATTCCTGCTGGTATCAGTATTTCTCCATTTTTTCCCAGGATCTTTGGGAATTGTTAGTGCTTCGATGTAAGTCTGAAGTATACTGTGTGCTCTTTCACAACAATTCTAAAAGGCTGTTTTTCCCACTGAGCAACGCGTTCAAGGAAATGTCTTCTGGAAAGAGCCTGTAAATAGCAGAATATTTCAGTTACTGAAAACTCATTTCTATTAACCAAATCCATGCGCTGAGGAAGGGATGTTACCTGGGGCTCTGAGTAGCAATGTTGTGCTGATTTTAATTAAAAACCCCTAAAATTGAAAAATATTTTGCAACAATGCAATTTACTTTTCATCCATATTAGTACAAACATGGATTTGGTAGGATCTGAACACCTTTAAGGTGGTGAGAGTGGAGATATTTTATGTTTTACATGCTCATTTTGATCTGGAAGGGGCCAGGCATGCAAACCTTGAGATGGTTATGATCTGGTCATCAAGACTCATTACAAATTTATGTTTGCATTTAAAAATTACCTTTATGTTTGTTCTTCAGCCCATCTGTGTTTTCTTTATACCAGAGCCCTTCACGTCCACACTCTGTTCGGCAGGCAAACTGCTGTGAGTGGGAAGAGCTGGGACTGCTGCAGTTTCCCCTCTGCAGAGTCATTGCAATAGGTCATTGCACTGCCACACTGCCCTAATGTGTGAGCATTTACGCCTGCTAGGAAAAGCCAGTCCACCTGGTGCAGCTCCAAGCAGTTGCATACAGGCTTTTTATCATCATAATAAAAATGACAATGACAGCAGAAAATGGCCATTCTCCCTGAAGCGAAGCTGAACTTCCCACTTCAAAGGTACCTTTATGGAATCCCTGGAGTCTCCAATAAAGGCCGCCTGCTCCAAAAGACTGGCATCTCTCCTGGAGAGCTGGGGAGCATGGGTCTTCAGGGGCAATATTTACAGCATTAAAGGACTCTGGGGAAATGGGAGTAAGAGTTCCAGCTTATTTCTTTGCCGTTTATTTCCATAACTGTACAAGCACGTCTGCCTCTGCTGTTTCAGGTCACTGAAGTAGACTTTGGAGCTCTGGGTTTGATTGCCAGGTGTGCTGAGAGCCCATGGCACTCAGAGTTTGTATGCCTCCTCTCCAGAGTTTTCTCTAGAAGACAGAATTCCGTTATAATTGAGAATGGAGATTCCTGAAAGTTCCACTTGAAATGGTCTCTGCTTTGTGTCCAAGTCTGCAGCGAGATCCAGTGTCTCTAGCCCTAGCTTTGCCTTCCAAAGTAGCAGTGTCAAATTCATGCTTTATCAGGTCTTTTACACTTAGTGGTCTTCGGGCAGTTGGACATGAAGAAACATTTGGTGCTGGAACCAGCTCCAGTTTGTGGGATTTGCTGTATGGATAACGGCTGGCAGCAGGGCTTGTTGCCCTGCTTCTCAGGGTGGGTGGCCACAGGCCAGAGTCTGCATTCAGTGGTGTGTGTGTGTGGTTATTTTTTTTGTCCTGTTTAATTTTTTATCCCCTGACCTAAACTCCAGGGTTCCGCATGTTGTGTCTGTCTGTGTAGGGCAGTTGATTCTGCTCTCTAAACCTTCCTTCATTTCTTTTCTGCTGTAGGCTCTGGCTGTCTGTCTGGCCAAGGGAGAGGAACATTCAGTGTTCAAGAAGCGGCTTGTCAAAGTTAAGGATGCTTACACCCAGGATAGTGACACTAGGGATGCTCGGCCTCTGGACACTCAGACCCTCGTGTCTTTTCTGAAGCTGTTTCAAGACGTGAATCCTGAGCTGAGGGTGGCTTTGGTGGAGAGGGAACAGAGCAGTGGAGAAGCCTCACATCAAGCAGGTAGGAAATTGGGTTCAACCTCTGGCAAAGTGAGTGGGCAACATTACAGAGAAACCCTGTATCCGGATGTGGGAGGTTTATCATGTGCTGGCCAAGATCCTGGAGCATTTCTGCCTGTAGCCGGAGGTGTAGCTGTGCAGAGCTCTCCCCACTGCTGCCTGGAGGGCTGGATTAATGGCTGGCAGCCAGTGTGAGTACAGCTGAGGCTTGGGGTTGAAAACTTATTTTTTACTCGAGTTTGACACAAAACAGTGGCCTTGCAAACCTGGTGTTAACTTCCAGCTTGCTTTATGGCTTTGTGCTCTGCTAGATAAATGAGACATTTTCCTTTCACAGAGTTTAAAGAGAATAGTAAAGTGATCTTCCTCTGCTGCTTGTACTTGGGATAAGCTTTGTTATTCACTTAGATCTTTCAGAGAGTCTCCCTCGCGTCAGGAACCTGTCAGTTTCTTCAGACTGACTTATTTCTTCTCTTGTGTTTCTGAATATTTTTCCCCACAGAAAGCATAGCCAATGAAGGGATGCTGACCACTCACTTGCTGTGCTGCAGGGAGGAGCTGATCCAGAGCGTGATCCAGCTGAGCCCCATCACAGAGTTTTGGAGGCAGTAGAAGAGGGATTCCTGACTGCTTCAGAGAAACAGGTAAAAAAAATCTGAAATAGGCAGACTTTGTGGATAGGGTGGTGTGTGTGTGTCATCAAGGCAGCATCATACACATGGTTTACCAGATGATGGGCCAGCCTCACCTGGCACTTCCACCTGCCTTCTGCACAGTAGCAACTACACATGTATGTGGTCTCAGGTCCTTTTGTGCTGTACTGTGGGAATAGTGAAAACTGAGCAGTGAAGGCAACCTGGAGACCAGGATCAGTGTCAGACTACCCTTGCAAGGGGAGCCTGGGCCAGAGGAGGTACCTAGTACTCCTCATACCCTGCAAAACCCTTTTTGGGAACAAAGACAAGGCTCTATAGGGGAGTTTGAACAGAACCACTAACCACCTCTCTGCTACCTGTTTGTCAGTTCCCGGTCATCAGCTTCCCTTTCAGCTGTCTCCCAGCTTTATGTCATTTTTGCAACTCTTACCACACAGTTTCCTGCAAGACTAGAACATCCCCTAAATAATTTGGTTTTATTTTTTATGTGTTGCAGGCAACAGTTGGTGGGGAGGACTGTTGCATTCCTTTTCTGTAAGAAACTGCACTCTGTATGCTGATTTGCAGAAGTCATAAAGGACAAAATGCTGTCTATAACCTGCTTTCCTTTGTGTTTGAGGGGAGCTAGCTGTGTCCTGTGCAGCTGGAAATTACAGGGTGCCCTCACATGCTGTGATCAGGATGCAGCTTGACTTCCTGTCCTGGTTTGTCACGTCATTGAACTCCCCTGACACAGGATTATAGCGAGTGAAAAGGTGTGCTCAGTGGCATGAATGATCTCTGCTTTCTGTCTGAGTAAGCCTGACCAGAGCCACAACAGGTGGGCTGAGAACTTCTGCCCAGCTCCTAATCTTCTCAGTTAAGGTCTCATGGTCCCTCACTATTGGAGGTTACCAATATTACTGAACAGGACTGCCTTGGTCTGTCTGGTCCCAGCTGCCGAACCAAATAGGGGCACCTGTGGTGTTTTCTCCCCAGAGACGCTGTTCAGTACCTGTGCTTGCAGCTGAGCATGTGGAGACAAGTCCGGGCACACCCTGAGCTCCAGTGCTTGCGGGCTGGAGCTTGCTGTTGAAGAGGGTCATTCCTCAGGCCTTCCTGAGCTGGAGGAACCTTTAAGGTGATGGTGAAGGAAGGAGTGGGTCCTGATGGAGAGTTTTTAATCCAGAGTTTTTATTTTGGGCTGCATGGCCTCTGAATCTTGCAACAACTCCAACAGAACTCCGACCGTGTGGTGTTCTTGCCCTTTTACCCAGGGAAGAGGGGGAGGGGAGGGAACACAGGGACCACCAACCAGGTATGGGGGGAGGAGGTTGAAATGAATAAATGGGGCAGGAGATCTTTCTCCTTTTTAATGCCTTTATTAAAAAGAATCAGCTCAGGTGGGGAGAGATTGACGGGTCACTCCCACGCCGCTGCTGCTCCCAGGAGTGGCATGGAGGAGGAGGATGATGATGATGGTCTGCAGGCAGAGCTGGGGCTTCCGTCCTCAGGGGAGATTAGGAGATTCCGTTTTTTTTTGGTTTAACATTTCAGGTTGTTTCTCTAGTTAACATCTTTAAGGTTAGGGTGAGAAGTAAAAAGGCTCTTAGCAGGTACTGGATTAAGTTCCTTGTCCTTAGACATCACTTAGGTCTCTTAAGTCTATGTTGGTTCGTTGTTTTTAGGGGTTTTCCTGGAAAACTGCAAAGTTTGGTGAAATGTATTTTCATCTGCATACTAGCTCTGATGCCACGCCCCTGCCCTGCTCACTGCGAGGTCTGGTGTCACTCCCTGGCAAGCATCAGGGGGGCAATGGCTAATCGCCAACCATTAACAGGCAATTGAAGAAGAACTCTCAACAACAGGTGGCTGCAACATGAAGCTAATTTAACAGCAACTGGTTCAACTTGTTTTAACTCTGCAACCTTAAAAAAAAATAGATAACTTTTTATTCATAACAGGGATCTCAGGTGAGAGGGACACCTGGGTGGGCCAATGGCCCACCAGGGAGTGGAGAGCATCCTTTGAACCTGCCAATCACTCGATGCCTTCTGGAATTTCTGGGTTGATAGACAGTGCCCAGCAGGGGTCAAGGGTGGGGGAAAGGAGAGGTGACTGACACCTGGGGAAGGATCTGGGTAACTGAGGCAAGCCATGACATCACACCGCAACACCTCACCACGTCCAGCATGGGGAATCACTGAGAACAGACACAGATTGGAATAGGGTACCTAAAAAGGTATTGCCAACAGAAGCATCTGTCCTGTCTTTGTGGGCTGGGGTGTGACTGGTGTGACTGGTGACTGACGAATTTTTGCATCTGAAAGCACACAGCTGAGCTTGGAATGGAGATATCAGAGGAGAGAGCAGGGTATAAGTTCAGCAAACAAGTTGGCATCTGCTGGGGGCATTGTGGCTGTCAGCAGAGACCCATGTGGGGGTCTGGAGCTGAACTTCATTAGCGGTGGGGAGATTAGGATCTTCATATATGCCTGTTCCTGTTGCAGTACAGCCTTTCTTTTAAATGCTTCACCTTTTCCCTACTCTCTTCTCTTTGTCTTCATAGAATTAGGTGGTTAAAATTCAGCAATTCTTTTTCTCCCTTCACCTTGAAAAAACCAAACACAACACCCCAATAATAAACCAAAACCATTCTGCCATTATAATTCTGCTTCTTGGGAACAGGATACACTGCCTGTGATTGCATCATCATGTACTGCAGAGCTCCTGCTTCATTTGGTGGAGGAGCAGTGTTTCTTTTCATCCTCGCCAGTCACTGTGTGCTCCGTTTGCTACAGAGCCCCCAAACCCTGCTCCGAATATGAAATCCTACTCCTCTCTATGGGATCCCTTCATACTCTTGGTTCAGCCCACAGTTTCTATCAAATAACAGATCTATTTGGGGAGCACTCCAGTGAGACTGTGGGCAGAGCTCTGCCCTCCTGCAGTACAAGAAAACAATAGGAAATTGCCAAGTGTAGACTGACCGTGGGGGGGTTTATTTGTTTAATTCCACTCCTTCTCCCCCAGACAAGTGGGAAAGTGTTTAATTATTCCAGAAGTTAAACTGATTAAAATGATGGGCCCATGGCATGTATGCAGGTGGGATCCCCGGTGTCTCAGGTGTAGGACTGGGAAAGCAAACATGGAATTAGCAGCCATCTCTGAAGGTTTTGTCTTATCTGGTTCATCCAGTGTTGCACTGGAGCTCTAGGCTGGCAGGGATGGAATCTAGTTCTCCAGAGGTTCATAAAGATGAGGCTTTAGTTTTTCTTCTCACTGTTGTGTGTCATTAGCTACACACTTATTCAGCAAGACAAGTATGAGTTTCTCATGGAACAGACTTTTTTCCTGGCAACTGGGTTCTTTCTGTACCTGGTCTGAGCTGTACAATGGAGCAAGTTTGATTTTCTTTGCTGGAAAACCAGTACGTGATGTTTCACGAAGCATCTTTGTCAATCTCTGTTTTTTCTGGATAACTTTTGAATCTAGCCTTTCTCTTTTTTGTGTGCTTAACTTCTGTGGCTTTTTTGGTGTTTCTGTAATTGGGAAGGGGTAGAGGATTTGAATACAGGTTATCACTTAAGAGAAATGAAGTGGATACAGAGGAAGAGTGGATAACTTCTCCTGCATGGTGCACCACACCGCTTAGGTAGTTTCAGAGTTCAGAGTGATCAGTCCACAATACAGCACTGAACCCAGAAAGTCAGTGTTAGAGTAGGTAGTAGAAACATCCTTCTCCTGCATGGTGCACCACACCGCTTAGGTAGTTTCAGAATTCAGAGTGATCAGTCCACAACACAGCACTGAACCCAGAAAGTCAGAGTCTTAGAGTAGGTAGTAGAAACATAAGCCCTTTCCTTCTGTTTAGGCTCTCTTCTAGAAGGCACCTGGGTATTCTGAGCTATGTGGTTTCTCTCCCTTTTGACTCCAGTGCCTGCAAACCTTGATGCTCAAACCAAGCTGCTTCAGAGCTCAGACAAGTATTAGGGATAGTACAAGCAGGTTGTTGGCCACTGCAGGAATCTTAACTGGGTACACTGGGGATGGAAAAATCCTACTGCAAGCAGAATTGGGGGATGTTTTCTAATTGTCTCACCTGGTGGTGTCAAAATAAGTCTTATAATATCACCACTGCATCTCCCACTGCCAGGGACATCTCTTCTGTTTGGGAGCAGTGGTAGGTTACTGCAAGAGCTCCCCAAAGGATGCTGCTCTTGTACCTCTTCTTGTGTTTTTTCAGAAGAGGACTTCAGACTAAGGGATCTAGAGGTAGGTTGGTGTGAATTGAAGGGGAAAACACATCAGCAGGTTCACTAGCAGAGTTTGGTCTATAAAAGGACAGATCTTTAGAAATGAGAGAAACTAATTAAGGAGTTCAGGTGCTCATTAGAGCACAGGAGGAGCTGTTGGATTAGTTTCTTTTATGTTTAAGGTAGGGGAACTGTCTGACGTTTGCATCCTGAAAGAGAGAGAGGATCTTATATGAGAGGTTATATACCTGAGTGAGTGAATAACTTGAGGAAGAGCTTTAGGATGTTCAGGGAATGGCTGAAATGTCTGACAGGCAAACAAATGTACTGTGGAGCTATGGAGAGGCTTGTGGCACATCGGGCGCTGGGCATCACAGCAGATACTGTCTGACCAAAAAAAAAAATAAGGAGAGGAGATGACCTGCAAATTCATGGCTTAGCCTGGAGCCTGATCTAGGAGAAACACAGAAACACACATTTCCTGCATGTGAAGGAAAATCACAACTGAAATGACATCTCTCAACAATCCATTAGGACCAATCTGAAAGCCTTCTATGATGGCAAGGCAGGATGGGTTGACAAGGGGAGAGCAGTGGATGGTGTCTACCTCAGCTTCATCAAGGCTTTTGATACAGTCTCCCGCAACATCCTCGAAGCTATGCTCAGGCAACGTGGTTTAGATAAATGGACAGTGAGATGGATCAAGAACTGGCTGAATGGCAGAGGGTTGTAAACAGTGGAATAGAATCCAGCTGAGGGTCTGTAGTGAGTGGCGTTCTCCAGGGATCAACACTTATTCAACTTATTTATCACTGCCCTGTATGAAGGGATAGACGGGCCCTGAGCAGGTTTGCTGATCATACAGAACTGGAGGGAGTGACTGATATACCTGAAGGCTGAGCTGCCCTTCAGCAGGACCTTGATAAGCTGAAGAACTGGGTGGAGAGAAACCAAATGAGGTTCAGTAATGGCAAGTGTGGGGTCCTGCATCTAGGGAGGGATAATCTCCAGTAACAGAACAGTTTGGGGGCTGAATTACTGGAGAGCAGCTCTGCTGAAAAGGCCCTGGGAATCTTGGTGGGTGACAAGTTGTCCATGAGCTGGTAGTGTGTCCTCTCAGCCAGGAGGGCCAGTGGGATCCTGGGGGTCATTGGGAAGACTGTGACCAGGAGGTCAAGGGAGGTCATCCTGCCCTTCCACTTGTCCCTGGTGAGGAGCATATGGAGTGCTGTGTCCAGTTCTGCCCAAGAAGGACAAGGGGCTACTGGAGGGGGTCCAGCAGAAGCTACAAAGGTGATGAGTGGCCTGCAACATTTCTCTTTTGAGGAGAGACTGTGGGAGCTGGACCTGGATAGTCTGTAGAAGATGGAGAATGGATCATTAATGCACACAAATATCTCAAAGGGAGGTTGCCAGGAGGATGGTGCCAGACTGTTCAGTGGTGCCCAGTGACAGAACAAGAAGCAATGGCCATAAAATAAAACATAAGAAGCTCTACCTCAACATGAGAAAGAACTTCTTTTCGTTGAGAATGGCAGACAACTGTAACAGGCTGCCCAGGGAGGGTGTGGAGTCTCTCTCTGGAGACAATCCAAATCCCCCTGGATGAGTTCCTGTGTCACCTGCTTTGGGTGATCCTGCCATGGCAGGGGGGTTGTACTAAATGATCTCCAGAGGTCGCTTCCAACCATAACTATCTTGTGATTCTGTGAACAGATGGGAAGAACTGACACCCGTGTCATGCAAGTGACAGAAGGCTGCTTACTTATTGTTCTCCAAGCTAAGAGTGGTCCCGACAGTTGATGAGCAGGACCAGACATTTTGGAGAGAAAGGCAGTGATTTGATCTCTTTGGGACAGGCAGGAGAGCACATATAGGTCAAACTTGTAAGGGAAAAAAAAAAAAAAAAAAAGAAAAAGAAAAAAAAAGGAGCAAATGCAGTAAAGGGTGTCATCCTGTTCTGCTATAAAAGGGGGAGGATTCATCTGATACATTTCTTGGACAAAAATAAAATACAAACGCAGCAGTATATCAAAGAATTGTTTATTGATAAAAAATGTTAAGTGTTCCTAGTAAGGCGGATAGGAAAAGGAGCAGAGAGAGGATAAGAAAGAAGGAGAAAGAAACAGAAGACAGGGACAGCGTTACCGCAAGAAGCCAGGTGGTCTGTCGGCATCAGCTTAGCAGGCAGAGCGTGTGCTGTGAACCGCGCTGCGTCTCCGTAGCTCCTGTGGTGGGCTGGGCATGAATTTCGAGCAGTAGCAGACTGCTTGTTCCTTCCGTCGGGGAGAGGGGGCTGCCGTGGCCACGGGCACCCCCCTGGAGCAGCCACGGGTTTTCAGGGTCGGGGCGCGGCGGCCGTGGGCGATGGCTGCGGCTGGGTGAGGCGGCGGCGACAGGCCGCTCCCCGCAGTGCCGGGCTGTGCTGCGGCGGCAGCGCAGGAAACACAGCGGCAAGCGGACCGCTGCTGCGGGCGCGGCTGCGGGCAGGCTGGGCCCGGGAAGCACGCGGGCCAGCTGGCTGCAGCAGCTCCTGCTTCACTGGGGAGGCAGCAGAGCACGAGGTCGTCGCGATGACAAGCTGGTTTTTCGGGAACGGTGAAGCAGGGAAGCAGGACCACAGGGAGGGAAAGGCGAGAAGGAGGGAGAAGGGCTGAGCGGACCCTACAGGCAAACCCCCGCTCCCTCCAAGATACCCAAAGAAAATGGGTCCTGTTGTGTTGCCGTTCCTCCCACAGTCTCATGTTCTGGGCATCCTTCACGGGCACCCTTCCGGGCATTTGCCCCGCTGGCAAAGTGGCGGGGGCGGTGTCACTGACAGTCCGACCGTGGAGCCTTGACTGGCTGCCAGGCGAAGCCTTCTTGGGGACAGGGTTGCAAGCGCATGTACAGCCTCTATAAGAACATAACATATGTTGAGGCATAAATAAGAATCAGATTGGTCCCTCTCAGGTGTTCACTAAATTGCTTCTGCTTGACCTGGGTTCTTTATTTGATGAGGTAAAAATGCCTTGGTCTAGATCTAGAGCAAAGCATTTGAATTTCATGTACGGAAATTGTTAAACTAGGAGAAACAGTGATGCTAAAAAGGATGCATTTCTTTGGTAAACATCTGCAGGTTGTGCTGAAGGCAGGACTCACAACTTGTAGCAAGGTCACTAGTGGAATTCTTGATACTTAATATTAACACTGATCTTATGGACACAAAAATACCACGGCATGTTTAGCAAATCTTGATAATGAGCACAATCAAAATCTTTTGCCTACACAGAGGAGGATTTGCAAGAGAGACAAGAATGAACTGTGTTCAGTTTTGGGCCCCTCATAACAAAAAAGTCACTGAAGAGCTGAAGTGTTCAGAGAAGGAACACAAGGAGTGGCTGAGGGAGTTGGGGCAGCTCAGCCTGGAGAAAAGTAGGCTCAGGAGGGACCTTCTCACGCTCTGTAACTCCCTGAAAGGAGGTCCAAGCCAGGTGGGAGTTGGTTTCTTCTCCCATGTAACAAGTAACAGGATAAGATGAAATAGCCTCAAGTTGTGCCAGGAGAGGTTTACATTGGATATTAGGAAAATTTTCTTCACTGTGAAGGTTATCAAACATTGGCATAGGCTGCCCAAGGCAGGGATAGTGGAGTCACCATCCATGGAGAGGTTTAAAAGATATGTGGATGTGGTAACTTGAGGACATGGGTTAGTGGTGAACATGGTGGTGGTGCTAGTTGATGGCTGATCTTGATTATCCTAGAGGGCTTTTCCAGCCTGAATGATTCTATGATTCTATATTCCATTAATCCAATTCTCCAGTTCCATGGCTGGAGAGCTGAGTAGTGAGAACTGACTGATGTGGTGGTATGAAGTGAAGGGTGTGCATTGGGTGCAGTAATAAGAACTAATAGTAAAGACCTCCTTGAAAACTTCTATTCCAGTCTGGTTCAAAAAAGGTGAATTCATACTGGAACTTGACAGATCTACAGTGGGAAGTCCAGGGGGGTGTAGAAGCTGTTTCATAAGAGGAGCTGCCTTATTAAGACAAGGGGAATGAAGACTGAGAGGGAATATGATCATGCTCTTATAATGAAATCAAAGAGGAAGGGTATGGTAAACACCTCAGAGAGTTTAAAAGGCTTTTAAAGCTAAAAGATAATATTGGCACATGAACAGACATACACTGGCCATGAATAAATTTCAGCTGAAAATTAGAAAAATCAGCAGGGGAATGAGGCTGTGGAATAGCTTACCAACCAGGGGAAAGGGAGCAAAAATGTAACTAGTTTTAGGACAGATATTAATCATTTTATTGCTAGGACTCTGTAGTGCTTATTGACATCAGGGAGCTGGACTGGTGTCCTGCAGAGGTTCTGCTCAGGAGCACAGTGCTGGTGGAAAGGAGGTCAGCCTGTATTTGACAAGTGCCTCTCCCTTGTAGGAGCCTTCTAGGTATTTTACTGGCTTCGTAGAGCTTTTCCAAACTACTGCAGTTGCATCTCATATAAGAAATGTTTCACGTGGCCTTGTCACAGAAATAATAATTCAGTTAATGGGTGCTTATTTAAATAATACGAGTATTTTCTTCTGGCCATCAATTTTTTGATGGCAAGCAGAAAAATTGCAGAGACAAGTGAAACGAGACTGACAGTTTTAAAAAGTATTCGCTAAAAATATTACATGAAATGTTGTTTTGAACACTCTCTTTAAGTTTACTTTTGGGGGTTTTTTAAAGTAGTTTTTGCTTGTCAGCCACTTCCAAGAGCTGGACTTGGTGGAAGAACCCACCAGGTTTGTTTTCAAGGTGTCATGTCTGTTACACCTCAGCCATGTTTGGGTGTTCTGTAACTGCCACCCTACAACCCTTCCAGTTAAATTGTGTAACCAGTGGGTAGGGATCTAGTGCAGTATTGTGGTACTGTTGCTGTTTTTCTGATCTCTGTTCAGATCCAAGAGTTCATAGGATGCTGTCACAGTTTTGTGGCTGTTTCTTTGTTACAGGTAGCTTTGGATGGCTGTGAAGGCAGCTCTCAGAGGGAAGCCATGGACAATCTGATCAGGAAGGTGGATGAAGAGAAAACCCTGGAAGTGGAATCTTCTGGAGGCTGTGAAAGCATCCTTCCCTGGACTCCAGCTTCTGCCAGACAACTTGGTGGCAAGAGCAAACGTCTCTGATGGTAAAGGTAGGAGTAAACTAAACTTCCACTGGTGACTTTACTGTATGGTAGTGACTGCCTTTGAAAACAAATACCTAAAACTTCCCTTAAGCTGGAGATGTCCTGATGTTAAATACAGTGTCTTACTTGGAATTCCTTGTGATTGAGGAAGATGGGGTTGAAAATTTATTTGGCCTGTGCTTCTTTCCTCGATCCAGGTAGCATTTCTGCTTGTGTTGGTCACTGACTCATGGTCTCCTGTGTGGAGCAGAGTGTGCTGATGGAAATCCTACACTTAGTGTCCCCATTACACATCATTCTGTTGGATGACTCCTCTTACTCATTTTGGTGGGATTTTATTATTTGCTGCCTGCCTGTGATGGCTCAGGGACTCAGGAGCCCCCATCTTTTGCCTGGTGGGACAACCTTCCAAGTTTAGGTGGGTTTAGGCACACCCTGAACAATTCAGATCAAGAGACCCAGAAGTCATATAAAATTTAAAACTAAATTAACATGCAGTGAAATGTAAATGAGGATTTAATAGAAAGCAAAACTGCACTCATAATGCTGATAATTTCCTCTGTAGCAAATATTCCCAACAGGCACTTGGCTTTGTCATTTGTTAAGCATGATTGCTTTCTCAAAACACCAGATTCCCAGCATGGTTAATTATCTCGTGGTAATACCCATTCCAAGGAGGAGCATTACTTAATTACACAGAACTGAATTTCCTCAAATTGCAGTTTGAACAAACAGAAGCACAGATATTTCTTATGATGAAAATGAAGAGAGAGAGGATGATTTGACTCTGCTGGCAACTGATGAATTAACTGGTGGTACCTTTGGTGTCCCATGCTGTCCAGCTAATAGGGAGCAGGAGGTCCTGCACTGTGGCACATGGCATGTGCTGGTTCTCGAGATCACCTTGGCATGGTGGCAGAGCAGTGAGTGTATTCATAACAACTCACTTTTGTGTCATAAAATCCGAAACATTCCAATGGGAGAAGAAGGAAAATATTTCATCTGTGAATTTCCCTTGGCTTTGCTGAGGATCAGATTGATGTCTCCAAGAAGCCTTTTTTCAGGGAGCTGTTCATAGTAGCTCAGACTCTTCCACTGAATATCCCCTCAGCCTGCTAGTGCTTCCTTCTCATCCCGGAAAGTTTTCTCTTCTTACATGTCACTGTGTATTCTCTGGGTCCCAGAGACTTTACCTTTTTTCCCCAAGCTGTGCTTCCTGCTTTTCTCCCAGGTAGTGCTGTGGGAATGATGGATTGTTCTGGTTGATACCAAACCAGAATGATTAAAAGACACAAGCACAAAAATCATGCATGAATGTCTGGGATGAACTACAGGTTTTGGGTTTGGTTTCTCCCACTGAAGTATAACTGTGCATCTTCTTCAACTTAGTAACTGCAATGGTAAAAAAATCCCTTTCAGATTAATATATTTGCCAATTTCCAATTTTATTTATCAAGTGACAAGTACAATCCTAGATTACTTTTGAGACACAGTAGATTTTGCCCAAGTCTCTTCATTATCCTGAATAAAACTCTTCTTTATTCATTATCTGAATAAAACATGTCCTGATGCTGGGGTGTCTTTAAAGAGTTGGGGTTTTCTTCTGGAGTCATCACTTTTCTGATTCATCAAGGCAAACTCAGCAGATCCAGATTAGAATTAGATAGAAGAAAGGAATAAGGTTAAAGTTGCAAATTTTTTTTTGTGTAAGAGGGAGAAGAAAGTGCTACAGCTGCTCTGCAATCGTAAGTCTGGTTTGTGTGCCTTTAACATTTTAACCAAGGGCAACTGAGTTCTTGATTACCTTGGACCACCTGAGTGTAAAATGTTGGTGTGTTTGGCAGTCATACAAGAGCATGAGAGGGACATGAGCCAGGGCATTTCCAAGCTCCTTCTTGGTGGAGTGGATCAAACACTGACTTACAGACCTCCTACAATGAAACTCTGGTTAAGAGTCAGTTTTTGTGATTCCAGGGTATCAGAAGAAGCTGGTAAATGTCTTGAGGTGTTGGCGGTGTTGCCTTCACAGACAAGGCCACATGTTCATCTGCTGAGCACTGAGACTTTCTTCCTCTGGGCTCAGACTGGGACTGATACTCAGGAGACATTTGGGTTCCGAAGATGCATTTCTGTTTGCATTTGGGGGTAGAAGATATTCTGTATTGTCTCTGCATTGGAGAAGTTCTGATTTGTCATGTTCGTCCTCTGCTTGAAGGTGAATCCGGGTGTGCTGAGCATATGGCCCTGAGCATTAGTGACCTAGGGAGGACTGGGTGCCTGGACCTTTCCTGTCTCCCCTACTTTTGAAGCCCTTTGAGAAGGTGCTGGAAGCTGAGCTGTTTGTTTTTCCATTCACTGAATTCAGGCAAAGGGAGCCCAGAGGATTATAGGGCCAAAGTGTTGTGACAATACCAAGAGAGCTTTGTGGAGCTCCTGACAGACAGACTGAGGTACTGCTGCACTTATGCAAGCAGATACAGAGTTTTCATCCCCATCTGGGGGGAAATACTGGAATTCCTAAGGACTTGATTTACTATCTGCCATTCTGGGTTTGGGGCAGTCCTCCAGCAGGACTTGGTTTAATGATTCCTTAGTATTCTGTAGTGGGAGTGAGGCAGGGTAATGTATATGAAGCTGAAGATTAGCAACTAAGAGTGGCTGATTTGGGCTCTGAGGAGAGATGCTTGTTCACGGCAAGCTGAGGGAATGCCTGATGTGTTTAGGTTCTAAGTGGTCACCACTTCAGTTGCACTGTGAGCCAGGTCTGCAGCAGGTGGGAGCAAGGGCAGGCTGGGTCTGGGTGAGCCTCGGTCATGCCCTTGTTCCTTTCAAGTCAGAATATTCTGTAGTTCTCGGGGATTCTGTGTCTGAGTGTGATGCAGGAAGCAGGTGGATGGCGTCCCTGTTAGTGTCTCCCTAAGGGTCTCTCCAAGGTGATGGAGCAGGTTGTGAGTAGCAGGTGGTGGTTTCACCTGCCTTGTGTTGGAGCAGCAGTCCTTGTCTGTCTCTGCTGTTTGGCAGCTGCTGATGGCTGTGCAGGAATCTGCATCCCTGAAACTGTTCATGAAGTAGATCTAGAAACAACCCAGCTCAGAAGTTTTCTTCCTCACAAGTGTCCTCCTACTCTTTCCCTGAGTTTCTCCTGCTGCTGGCAGCAGCTGCTTTCTAACTCCTCATCCCTCCCTGGCCAGTAACCTCTTTTCTTACAGTGGCTCTCAGCACCCATGTCCTTGGTGTTTTCCAGCTATAACTTTTCCAGTTATAGCTGGAAAAGCACTTTGGAAAACACAGCTGCTTTGCTTGTGGCTCTGTGTGTGCAGGTTTTATAATGAGCAAACCTTTGAGAGCTGGCCACCATTCTGTGGTAACAGTCAGCTGGAGGCACATCAGTCTGAGAGCCCAGGGCTGATCAGAGGTCTCTGTGCAGCCACCATCCTCTCCTCCCTATAGCCTTGGCCTTCAGTTTTCCTGCTTTAAAACCTAAACTGTGCTTGTACCTCTGAATTGTTGTCAAACTCTCACACAAGTGTGAGGAGTAGTCAGTTTGGTGGTCTCTGCAGCAGAGCCTGACTTTGTGTGCTGGCCCTGTGAGCACAGAGCTGGGGTTCACCTGCAGCCAGGTGCCTCCATCTGAACTCCCCTCTCCCCTCTGTGTTCTGACTGGAAAAACCAGTGCCTCTGATCCCCCGTGCATCCAGCCAATTTTCATGTGTCTGTCCTCAGATGAGGCAAATTGTGCCTAGGAGTGCCTGTTCTCTGCAGAAGTTGGAATCTCTATAACCATGGAGAGAAGAAATCCTGAGTCTTGGGAGAACCATGCCTTGCCTTTTGAAGTTGTCACTGTCTCTTTCAGCAACATACTTTGGAAAACCTGATCTTCTTGCCCAAAGTTGGACAAACAGTGAGAAGGAAGGTCTGCAAGTACCTCATGCTGGCTGTCAGTGCTGCAGTTAGTACAACCAGAGCTTGAATGTGGTAGTTTTCTGTGCCATGAAGAAGTCACTTCTGTTAACAGCTCAGCTTCGGGTTCCTCTTGGGTTTGTGTTCTTAATACCTCTGCTTTTTATTTTCACCTTCAGCAGCTATCAGTGAGAACACAGCCATTGAGATCATCCTGTGGCATCACAAGCTGATCTTCAAGCCATCCAGCAAAGAGAGGACCTGAAGGGCTTGGCTCTGGGGTAGGCAGGGCTCAGGGAAGCAGTGGAAGAGGCATGATGGGATGTTCTCATAGTGGGCATGGTTTGAGGCTCAAAGGGTGGACAGGTCCCAGTGTCCCCTGAGATCAAGGGTCATTGCTTAAGCTGGGGAAGCCATCCAAATTTGGAAGTGCCCCCTTGCTGAAGTGAGAGTGTGCCGGATATTTTATTGGGTATTTTATAAAAAGGAGGGCCTACAGGAAGGCTGGAGAGGGACTTTTTGTAAGGGCAAGCAGTGACAAGACCAGGCCAAAATGGCCTTAAGCTGACAGAAGGCAGATTCAGATTAGATGTGCAGAGGAAAGGTCATGGCAGAGCACACTCTTCTAGTGCAAAGATGACCATGACAATGCAGTTTGTAGTCCCAGACTATTTTCTGAGTTAATTTTCTTAGAATGCTTTAATTTGGTCTTGCTCTGTATGCACTTTACAGATAAATACCTCCCTGTGAGGGTCTGACAGCAGAAGTTTGTTAACTCCAGAACGAATGCAGAGCAATAACCACATGTGAGTCCTGCCCTGAGCTGTGGGAGGCTTTCCAGCTGAGCCCAGTTGTAACTTTGCATCCATTATTTGAAGGAAAAACGCTTAACTGAATTTGGTGCTTTAATGACAAGCATACAAGGATACCAGAGGGTCAGGAAGGTAATTGCAGGTGTGTGTTCTTCCAGAAAGGATGCAAATGTGACTTGCTTATTCTGTTTGCTTATATATATTTTCATCTGTTTCTCAGCATATCCAGATTATTTGGACTGCAGAGTCCTCTAGGATGGGCACAGTGGGGTTTTTAGCCAAGTACCGGCCCAATCCATTCCTATTGTCTCATGGTGCCAGAGCTGCTTAGCTGACAAGAAGTGTGGAAATGCCATCAGATTGCTGGGGAGTTAGAGCAAAAAGCAGTTTGCTGTTAATGTGTTGGGATTTTTTAGGGATAGAAGGTTTGATTACTTTATATGCAAATTTGGGTCAAGGCCATCAGTCTTTTTGAATGAGCACAAGCCTCATGGCTTTGACACTTGCCATTGTTTCATGTGTGGAATGGACAGGCAAAGCCTGTCTCCCATGTGCTGGGGGCAGGCCACCCTCTGAACCCTGGGCTTGTTGGCCTGCCTGTGGTCTTGAGCAGTGAGGAAATGCTGCTGGATGGAAGGTGGGAGTGGGTGACTGGGAGCAGGGCACAGGTAGAAGAAACCAAGGATCTCGATTGTACAAAGCAACATGATGCAGAGTCCCCAGCAGGTGCAAAGAGAGCTGCTTCATTGCTAAAACCAGGCCTTTTTAAGCAGTTAGGACATTATCAGTTACGTTCCATTGAAGTATAGCAAATATAATTCAACCAACCACCATAAGCCACGATGTGAGCACATAATGGTTATATAAATTGTTTTTCTACCTCCAGTTCAGCTGAGTCACTTTCCCATAGTCCCCTTCTGCTTAGCCAAAGTAGCAGGTCTGAGCCATGATTTTACAAGGGTAACAAAGCCCTTATTTTATAAGGTTTTACCTATATTCAACACATGATGACTGCTGTACTTGTAGGGCTTGGAGGATGACAGCACATGCTCCACTCCCATTCCTTGCCTCAGTGGTCTCCTGAAACAGGTGCTACGCTGCAAATCCAAAATTCATTCCCAGTTCAGATCTACATCCTCTCTTCTAGCCGTACCAAGAGCTGCCACCAATCCAGCTGGCATTTTTACCTGGTCATGGCTTTGATTTCTAGTGAAAGGGTGATTCTTTCTTATCTGCCATTGATTCTGTCACCTTCTGATGCTGCAGACACTTGTCCCACTCCCCCTGACTCTGTGTCCATGGTGTGGGCCAGGGCTGATGCCCTCATGACTCTGGAGCAGATGAGCCAACAATTCATGTGTCTGTGAATGCACAGCCCGAGTGAACTCCTGGACACCTCGGCGTGTGTAGCAGAGGGGCCTGGGGAGTCAATGTGACTGCTCTGGCAGCTGCCGCCTCTCTGGCAGCAATATCAAAGAGAGCAGACTGCTGCCACTGAGTGGCTTTTCAGGGCTTCAAGCCAAGGTTGAGATAAAATCAAGCAAGAAGCATCATCAAAAACAAAAGCCCTGGAAAATGTTATTTACTTGGCAAAAACATCTATTCTAGATGACGTGTCCAGAGTAGGATTGCCAGATACCAGCTTCTTTCTGGCGTCCTACAGATCTTTGCACTGAATTTCCATATCTTAATTTTGAGGCCAGTCTACTCAGCTCTGACATCACTGCTTACCAGGCCCACACATGGCAGGTGACTTTATGGACCTTGTGGCTTTTGGCATGAGATATGACAGATAATGGCAGGCCTCATGTCAGGGAGGTGTGAGCTTCCTATTAAATCTGAGGAGACCTTACATTTCTGAGAATGTATGTGCTGCGTGGAGATATGTTCCGTTTGCACATCCACAGGAAAACAACAGCTTTTGCTTCTCTATTGCAAAAAAAACCTGAAAAAAAATCTGGTAAAGTTAGGTGAACCAAAGCACTTGGAAGGCACAGAGCATCCCTGCAGAAGAAACTGCATCCATCTCCAACCATGCTCAGCACTGCAAGTAAAGGATTGGTTTCTTTGGTGGAGGTACAACATGGAATCTCTTGGCTTCTTGTTTGAACCCTGCTGTAGTCAGAGCACTGTCACTCTTGGCAGCTGGTGCATGCAAGGGCAGGGTTTGGCTCTTTCAGCCAACTCTGTAACCTCCTCCCTAGCCATCTGCTTTCCAGAGCTCTCTGCAATCATTTAGAAGATCATGTTTGTCAAGATTGGTCTTACTCTCAAATATCAGAAATGTGTCAAGAGCTCTATGAAAAAGGCTTTTCCTCCCCATGGTCTTGTTTTAAAAAAAAGACAGTTAGCATCTCACTGGTAGATTGAAAAATAATTCTTCACTTAGGTCAGAAAAAGTGACAGGGTTGGTTGAAGGGATGTGGAAAGAAATCTTAGATGTCACAAGTCAAAGTGACTTTGACAGAACAGGACAAACTGGAAACCAGTTTTCCAGTCTACTGTTCTCCCTTGATGTGTTTGCAAATTATGGATCACCACTTGGTGTCTTAAGTTTTCCAGGTCCATTGAAATATGTTGTCTGGTCTTCAGTTGGTTGGAAATCTGGGGCAGTGGTGCTGTGCAAGGGGACACTGTGCTGAGCTCTTCCCATAGTGAGGAAGGCAGAGATGAAGTTTTTCAAGCACAGGCTGAGTTTTTCCGTACAGTGGCAAAAGGAGAAGTCTGTGCCAATTACCACAGCCACACAGTTCAGGGTTCTCATTATAGTAAAGAAGACAAGTGTATCTGTTTGTATTTTGATTTCTCCCATACATACATTTCCTGTGGGTCTTTTCAGTAGATTGGGATCCTGGGTGAATTTTCTAGCTTGTGCTTTTTGAGGTGATGGTGTTAGAGGGACTTGGGAAGGCATTTGTGCTTTCTAAGAAATGAGCATAATGAGTGGTTTAAAATACCTCAGGGCCCTGAGCAGAGGACTCAAAAGGGTTGTAGCAAGATTATCTGTTCCTTTTCAAAGGGATTGTGTTTGTGAAGTGTTTCTGAGATTTCTTGTAATTAAGGGCTGGATATCCACTCTTAGTGGCAGATTTTGATAGTATGATACTCAGGTCTGCAAACATGGCTGTAACTTCATGTGTCTGAGCAGGAGGCAAATGCTGGGAAGCAAGAGTTTGAGAAACAAGCTTTTAGGAAAATCTGGCCCTGGCTCTTGGCATCTCATGCAGACCCTTGCATGTGTGGTGGAGAAATTCAAGGATCAGTCTTTATGTTTCTAACCATGCATGGCCAGAACCACTTCTGGACAGAGCTGTGTGTCACCATTGTGATGGGACGACATGTCTGATGTGTGTCTGCTGCGTCTGAGCAGGGAAAACTATGTAGGAGCATTCAAGAGATGGGAGACTGAGGGGCAGGTGCTCAGTCACCTCCAAAACAGTAATTGCATAGGTCTCTTGATAGCAGGAAGAAGGCAGAAACCTGGGATCAGGAGGTGGAAGGTGAACAGTGAATCCCAGTTTGAAGTTCTGGACAAAGATGAGGGCAAGGCAGAAGGTGCTAGTGCCAAAGAAGCAAAGGAATCCCAGGGCAAAGCTTCTTCCAAGAAGAGTTTTGTCTGCAAAGCCTGTTGCAAAGCCTGTGATAAAGTCTTTCACTTCTACTGCCGCCTGAAGGTGCACATGAAATGCTGTCAGGTCGCCAGAGGAAAGCAGATCCAGCATAAAGAGTGTAGCGAGGTCAAATAGACAAGGAATGAGCTGGAGAAGCATCAGCTGGAGGTCCACGGGATGGTGGGGATGGCCAAGAAGAAAAAGAAGAGGCTCCCCATGGCGTGTGACATCTGGAAGAGAGTTTGCTCATGCCTCAGGTAGGGTTGCTGGGAGCAGGGGTGTTTAGATGGAAGTTTGGACAGTATAGTAAAGTAATAGTCTGAAATCTTGTCCTCTTCCTCCCTTCAGCTCTGTGTGAGAGAAACGTGTGAGAAACATGTGCTCCATGTGTGAGAAACAGCTCT